TTATCGTAGGCTTTTAACGTACCATCGTTTATCAGTTACCATTTCATTGTTCAATTTATCTGGACGGTTATTATTAAGTTGCGTCTTTATTAGGACCTGTCTCCGTTAAATCGATTTTCTCCTCGGGTTGATTATCGTTGAACTGTCTGACCGATCTGAAGAAATATCGTCACCGTTGCATGCCTATCTTAGTATTTTCTTTTACTACATTTCATTCATCTTCTGTTTTCTGTACACAGACTCTCATCCACTTGTCTTTATCCAGAGATGGATATAGTCATTGCAGAGCTGTTGAAGCGTCAATACAAATTAAAAATGATCTTGTAAGTATTGGTTTCATATGATTTTCAGCTTTTATATATTATCTTCTTTATTATTAGTCACTAACAAAAATCTCGTTGTATCAAGACTATATTGGTAATGCTGGAGTTAAGTTTATTGCTGATGTTCTACGAAAGAATACAGTTATTGATATTTTCTTATCACTTCAAATTCTAAAGTTTCTATGTTACATTTAGACACTAAAAGAACTCAACTTAGAATCTAATTGTATTGAAGCTGAAGGGGCAAAATATCTTGCTGATGCTCTACACAAGAACACAGTTATTCATATTTTCTAGTCATTTCGAATTCTTAAGTTTCTATGTTATATTTAGACACTAAAAGAACTGAACTTAGGGTCTAATTATATTGAAGCTGAAGGGGCGAAATGTCTTGCTGATGCCCTACGAGAGAATATGGTGATAATAGTCAGCTGCCTTTCATTTTCGTATTATTTTTTCAGTTTATTCACAGACGCTGCGCACACTGAAGTATGTTTACAATAAAATCGGAGCTGTTGGTCCACAGCATTTTGTGAAAATATTTCAATATAACACTGTACAATTAGTTTTTTATCATATGTCTCAAATTGATTACTTTTGCTCTATATAGGCGCTTAGCACAATAAATCTATACCACAATGATATCGGAGACGATGGAGCCAATCATATGGCTGATCTATTAGAAACTAACAAAGTCTTCTTATTCTTTGCATAACCTCGTCTTATCTTCTATTCATTTCTTTCATTGTTCATAGACATTAATTACACTTTCCATGGCATCAAACAAAATCAGTGATAAAGGAATGAATTTTATTTGCAAAGCATTACATAAGAACATGGTGAATTTTTCTTTTCTTCTCAAAATTTAATATGTAGATATTATGTTTTTTTGTGTAGACTTTGAAAGAACTAAATCTTGAAAATAACGAAATTACAGATGATGGAGCAACATATCTATCTCAAGCATTACAGAACAATAACGTAATTACACTTACTTCTTTGCCGTTGTCGTATAGAAAAGAACTCTTTTTAAATATCTAGGTACTCGAAATAATCAATCTTTCAAGAAACTATATTGGAGATGATGGTGCTAGATATCTCGCCTCAGTGTTACGCAATAACACGGTAATATCCATTTTTGTCTGCTATATCATGTCTTCATTATTTTTTCTATAATAAGATCGTCAGAGTGCTCGATCTTAGTGAGAATAAAATTGGCAATACTGGAGCACAATATTTATTTGATGATTTACAACAAAACACGGTATGTCTTATTCTAGAGATACAATTGATTATCGTTGAATTGTCTGATCGATCTAAAGGATTGTTGTCATCGTTGCACGCCTATTTTAGTTCTTTTTTTACGAGATTTCATTCATCTTCTATTTTCTATACACAGACTCTCATCCACCTATCTTTATCCGGAAATAGATTTAGTCATTACAGAGCTGTTGAAGCGTCAATACAAATCAAAAATGATCATGTAAGTATTGATTTCATATAATTTTCAACTTTTATATATTATCTTCTTTGTTATTAGTCGCTAACAAAAATCTACTTGGACAGGGCTGATATTCGTAATGCTGGAGCTAAGTTTATTGCTGATGTTCTACGAAAGAATATAGTTATGGACATTTTCTAGTTATTTCGAATTCTAAAGTTTCTATGTTACATTTAGACACTAGAAGAACTCAGCTTGAAATGTAATCATATTGAAGCTGAAGGGGCAAAATATCTTGCTGATGCCTTACAAGAGAATATGGTAATAATAGTCCGCTTCCTATCGTTTTTAGTGTAATTTTTTTGGTTTATTTACAGACACTTAGAATGTTAAACCTTGATGATAATGAAATCGGAGCTGCTGGAGGTCATTATCTTGCTGAAGCTTTACGAAAGAATAAAGTAACTAATTATCGTTTTATTTTATTTTTGATTCCATTTTTCCTTGTAGGCACAAACGCTTACTGAACTATTTCTGAAGGGTATTCCCGGTGGAAAAAAAAGATATTATACATCAAAAACGACAGAAAATATGGCTTCTCTCTTGCGTAACAGCACGGTATTTCTTATAACGACTTTTGTTTTTCTTTCTGAAAAGCATTCTTTACTGTTACATTCAGATATTCTCTCAACCAGATCTAATAGGAAATGTAGGGGGTTATTGTGTAGCTCTTAAAGTAGTCGAATGGATACACAATAACAACGTAACAGCTTTCTTGTCTTAATTATTCGATTTAAAAATACTTTCATTTTTGTATGCAGGCATTATCGAAACTAAATCTCGCATGTGAGAAGATCGGCTCTGCTGGTGCACAACATATCGGTGATGCTTTGCGTAGTAACACGGTGATTTTCTTTCATTTTTATTTTATTTTAGCTTTAATATATCATCGTCTCTTCAAATAGACACTTAAAGAATTGCGTGTAAATGTTGAAGACATTGGTGTCGCTGGACTAAATTATCTTAGAGACGGATTGAAAAATAATACAGTTAACATTATATCTGTTAAATATGATTTATATTCATAATCTTATTTGCCAATAGACTCTAGAAACAATAAAGATAGGCGGCAAGACACCCGGCACACACCAATATTTGCAAAACATCTTAAAAATATTATCTTATGAAGTAAATTTCTATTCTAAAAACTCATTCTTTCGTGATATCTTCCAAATCTATATATAGACACTCATCATTTCAGAAATAGAAAACGAAGCAATCAATGTGCAAGGAATGAAATATCTTAGTCATATTTTACAAAATAATTCAGTATTATTAAAGAATTTTTTATTAGATTCTTATACATTTTCTGATCTCTATACAGACACTTATCACATTAAATTTAATAAACAATCATATACCAGCAACTGGAATACCTTACTTAGCTGATATTCTAAGAAATCATACTGTAAAATATATTTCACATTAGTTTTCTTTATATACAATCATTTATAAATAGACATTAACCACATTATGTTTAGAAAAAAATCGAATTGGTGACAATGGTATGGGATTCCTTTCTTCTGGATTACAAAATAATACGGTGAGCGATAGTTTCGCATGTATTGTTAATTATACAATGTATTCAATACTCATAGATACTAAAGACATTGATCCTTTCTCGTGCTCATATCGGACCAGCTGGTGTAGAGAGCCTTGCTAATGCCATACAGAATAATACAGTATTTCTTATGAATTCTTTCTTTTATATCTTATTTTTCTGTAAATAGACATTATCTACATTAAAATTGAACAATAATCAAATAGGAAACAGAGGAACTTTATGTCTTGCGAACATATTGAAAACCAACCAAGTAATTCTTTTTATTTTTCATGTATTTTATTTTATACTTGATATGTAGACATTAATAGAAATCGATATATCAAACAATAAAATAGGAAATGATGGTGCACAATTTATTGCTGATGCTCTGCTAACTAATAATGTTATTATTTCTTCATTTTATTTCTTTTATATTTTTTGTTTATTTATCATGCATAGACACTTTTGAAATTAAATCTTGGCATTAATGAAATTAGAATTTCTGGAGCAGAATACATCGCCAATGCCTTACAGAAAAATACAGTAAATATTATTCTGTTTTCATCTCTTACATTTTTTGTTCTATAATCAGACATTAACTACATTGTACCTTCATATGAATAAAATTGACGCAGAAGGAATAAAATATCTTGCACAGGCATTGAACATTAATAAAGTAATATTTGTTTTTATTCTTTCGAACGTACATACATTTTTTATCATGTTTAGACACTTCAACAAATAAATCTTCCTTCCAATCCAATTGGATATGATGGCATAAAATATCTGAGAGAATTATTACAAGATAACATCGTAATTTTATTCTATCCCCCGATGTCATAAAAATTTTGCGATATTTTTAAATTAGCATACATCTCGACTTGAATAACTGATAAAATCTTGATTTTTATTTATACAGGTTGTATAGAGTTTTTCACAACGGATCTTAGAAAAGAAATCAAATTGTTATCATTTACTCAATTCGAGATATATGCCAATTAAAAAAAATGTCACAAAACTTTTGTAACACTCAGTACACAATGTATCCTCTACATGTAGACACTTACTGAATTGCACATTGGCTACACATATATTGGATATGAAGGAAATCTTGTTATTAATAAAAATTTACAAAATGAATGGTAATCTTGATTTACTCTCTCTCTCTCCTTCATCTGTCTCATGTTTTCTTTTTCTCTTTTAGATACTATAAAACATCAATATAGTTCTTTTGGAAATAACGTTTTTTTTCTGAATTGGATGTATCGAACAAATAAATGAAATAGTTTTATATTTTGAATAGATTGTCAACTTATTGATTATTCATTGAAAATAAATATCAAACAATAATATATTCATCAAAGAGATCTCGTTTCGTCATGGAATATTTGAAAATAAAAGTAATGAAAATCTTGAGAAATATCATAATAGCCACAAATTCGATCAAGACAAGTTATAGAGTAGAATATTCATTAAACCCGAATAATCATCTTAAGGGTGGGTGTGAGTGTGGGTGAATGCTCAGTAATATAATTACACTCACGTCTACCCACGACTATACACGTTTTAATCGAAATCTTAACCGTTTCATAAAAATCCTAGATCCACTACTGATACTTTATCTATAAGAACAAGTACATTTAATCATTCTTGCACAATCTTTTGTCAATAATTTATCGTTCTCTTCGTTGCATTAATACATAATGAATCGTTTTTGCGATCACTTGAATAATATTTAAAAGTTACTTTTTCGTTCTTTTACATGTTCATAAATAGTATACGTGAGATATGAGAATAAAATTGCTAGTTTTTACTGCTATATCATTATCTCCTCAATCTCATATGTATACAGGCGACTGGAATTTTCAAATAATTTGGCATGTTATTTGAAAAACCGATGAAGTGAGCTCTTTGATCAGTATTGCATTAATTAACTCTACATATTTATTTCGTAATACGAAATTACAATGACTTTGACGAACGCTTTGATAGTTAGAAATTATAATCGTGAAAATAATTCTGCCAACTAACATCGAAGTAAAGAATGTCGAAATATGAAAATGATAAGACTTTCAGTATTCGAAACAACTTAAGGGGAAAAATAAAGAAACACGTTTGAGGGTGGGTGTAAATATAGACATTCATATATATTTAGCCACACCCACACCCTCAAAAATTGATTGTAGCAACAAAACGTTAAGTCTAACTAGAACCTAAGTCGAATTGAGTTCTATTACAGATAATCAATACTAATAGTATAAATCTAATAAGTAGAAAAAGTTCAACTAGATTAATCTCACTCCAGCTCTACACTAACAGACGACTATATATTCTAAAAGCAATTATTTGAAAAAAAATTCTGAACGATTTGCTCACTACTATTTTACTGATTGATCAAATCTATGTTTATAATTATGATGAAAGATTTTGAGTTTTCTAATAGAACAACAGCTTCAGTATTTTTATTTGTAATGATGCTGCTTCTAAAACAAAGAAACACATTTCTTTAAAATTCCTCTAGTATAAAATAAATATTTCAGACAAATTTGCCCAACAACAGACCAAATTATAGTAAACTTCACTAATCATAAAAGTAATGATCTAATTTTTTTCGTCGATTCATACGTCTGACTCCATCTCAACAGAACAAATTATGTACCATCTTATAAAATATCTATATTTAATTTTACGATCAAATGATAATATACTTTGAATAAAAATAAATTCATTCAAACTTTACTGATTATTACTGAGAACACAATATTCATGTCTATTATGTATGATTTTATATCGATACAACAATCGTAACAAAAACTTTGTGTGCAGTTGTTATGGCAATTCTGTCATTCTTTAGTTGACATCATTTTTTTTCCTTTTTCTCTCAATGAGTAATTGCAACATCATGTGAAACCAATGACACAACAAACATTCACTCATTTAATCGAAAGAAAAAAAACAATAACACATCATATAACCAACATATAAGTCAACGCAGCACACATTTCATTAGCAGTCTACAATGGCAAATCAAACTGCCATCAACTTCCATACGTTACCGATAGAACTTGTGTACCGAATTCTGGATTATGAATCGGATTTTACACTTATGTGCTCAATGACAAACGTATGTGAACGATTCAATAGAATCTTAAACATCTACGATCGATACCAGGTAAACTTTTTTCAATTGACTCTAATAAAATATACATGAATAAACTATTTCTTACTGAAAATATGAACATAGTGTGCTGATAATCAGAAAAAAATAAATTCCTTTTTTTCTTTCTTTTTAATTTCATCTAAATACTCCACGTTTCAAACTAGGTATGATGTCATAAACATACAATGTTTACATAAGAACGAAAAAAAACATTACTATTTTCATTTTAATACAACTTTGGTAAGTCCTTGGGAAATATCTCTGGCAAATACTCCATTAAGAACATGCATGACTATCGATGCAAATGACGGTGGATGTGCATAAGAGACAGGAATACTACTTCTGATGCAGTTTTTTTTGGAAAATAATTGCTCCGAAACGAATTTCATCTGAGACACACTTCCCAAAGACGAACTATGATGGCATCAAAAGCAACCATAAAAATCATATTCTCACTTATATAAACCATACCTATCAATAAGGCCCAACTCGATGCAAAATACATAACGAGTCCGAGAAATACACATCAATGAAAATTGTTCACTAACTATTAACAAAAAACTATCCTTTATCATACGTATGGAATACTAATACCTGCTGCACTATACTTTACTAAATTCAAAAACAGTTACTCCAATACATTGTCATATAAGTACCTAGTAATACGCTTCACAATTACTCTGAGCAAAAGTACCTTACAAACTTTCTTTATTGACTGAAAGAGTTTTCCTCTCTGACAAACATTCAGAGATTCCAGCAACATACGGATAAAACGTTGCTATCACCTTTAGTAACTTCTTCGCATTCCATATTTTCACAACACATCATCGCAATACTATGTATTACACGAAATCCTTAAAGTATTCATATTAATATCCACAGGATCAGAACAGCATTTATTTCACTTTTCTGATCTCATGTAATACTGACCAACTATTCTCTCTCTTCATCTGTACTATGGCTTTTTCTTCATCTTTTCATCTAGATGCTCAGTACACTAGATCTCTGTAACAATCAACTCGGAGATGTTGAAGCACAATCTTTGGGTATTGCATTCCAACACAATACAGTAGTCCTCATTTTCCCCTTTTCTATGCTATCTCTATACTTCCCGTTCTTTATCTAGACACTCACTACACTCGATCTCTCGAACAATGAAATCACAGATGTTGGAGCACAATTTGTAGGTGATGCATTGCAACACAACACAGTAACTTTCATTCTCTCCTTATCTATACTATATCTTTACTTCTACCACTTCATCTAGACACTCATCACACTAAATATCGGTGGCAATAGAATCAGTGGTGTTGGAGCACAATCTTTGGGTGATGCATTACAACACAACAAAGTAACTCTCATCTTTCTTTGTCTATGCTATGTCTTTACCACCACTTTTTCATCTAGACACTCACCACACTAAATCTCGGATGGAATCAAATCGGAGATATTGGAGCACAATCTCTGGGTAATGCATTACAACGCAATACAGTAACTCGCATTCTTTGTTTATCTATATCATGTCCTTACCCACAGTTCTTCATCTAGACACTCACAACACTAATTATCGAGAGCACTGGACTCGATAATGTTGGAGCACAATATTTGGGTTTTGCATTACAACACAACACAGTAACTCGCATTCTCTCTTCATTTAAACCATATCTTTATTCATACTTCTTCATCTAGACACTCACCACACTAGATCTCAAACATAATGGAATCGCAAATGTTGGAGCACAATCTTTAGGTGTTGCATTAAAACACAATATAGTAATCCTCATTTCCCTTTATCTATATCATCTCTATACCTTCGTTCATCATCTAGGCACTTACCACATTAATTCTCGGAAATAATCGAATTGGAGAGATTGGAGCACAATCTTTGGGTGTTGCATTACAACATAACACAGTAACTTTCATTATCTCTTTATCGATACCATGTCTTTACCTTCACTTTTTCTTCTAGACACTCATCACACTAGATCTCTCGAGCAATCATATCGGGGGTGTTGGAGCACAATCCTTGGGTGATACATTACAGCACAACACAGTAATTATAATCCTCTCCTTATCCATACTATGTCTATACTTTCACTTCTTCGTCCAGACACTCACCACACTAAATATCGGTGGCAATGGAATTGGTGATGTTGGAGCACAATCTTTGGGTGATGCATTAAAATACAACTCAGTAACTCTCATTGTCTCTTTATCTTTAACTTCACTTTTTCATTCAGTCACTCACTATACTAAAGATCGGTGGCAATGGAATCCGTGATGTTGGAGCACAATCTTTAGGTAGCGCATTACAACACAATACAGTAACTCTTATTCTCTCTTTATCTATCCCATATCTTTATCTCCACTTTTTCATCTAGACACTCACCACACTAGAGCTCTGGAGTAATCCAATCGGAGATGATGGAGCACAATCTTTAGGTAGTGCATTACAACGCAACACAGTAACCGTTATTTTCTTGATCTGTACTTTGCTTTACTTTTACTTTTTCCTCTAGACACTCACCACAATAAATCTCGGACATAATCGAATCGCAGTTGTTGGAGCACAAGCTTTAGGCGATGCATTAAAATACAACACGGTAACTCTCATTCTCTCTTTATGTAAACCATGTGTTCATCTCCACTTCTTCATCTAGACGCTTACCACACTAGATCTCTCGAGCAATCAAATCGGAGACGTTGGAGCACAATCCTTGGGTGATGCATTACTGCACAATACAGTAACTCTAGTCCTCTCCTTATTCATGCCATAATTCAATCTCCAGTTTTCTATTTAGACACTCATCTCACTAAATATTCGGAAGAATGAAATCGAACATGTTGGAGCACAGTCTCTAGGTAATGCATTACAACACAACACAGTAACTATCATCCTTTCCTTATCTATAATATATCTTTACCTTCACGTTTTCATCTAGTCACTCACCACACTAGATCTCGGGTTTAATGGAATCGGATGTATTGGAGCGCAACATTTAAGTCAAGGGTTACGACAGAATACAGTAATCCTCGTTCTCGCTATATCTTTCTCACGTCTTCACCTTCACGTTTTCATCTAGACACTCACCACACTAGATCTCGGACAAAATCGAATCACAGTTGTTGGAGCACAACATTTAATTGAAGGGTTACGACATAACACAGTAATCCCCGTTTTCGCTATATCTGTATCATGTCTTTATCTCCACTTTTTCATCTAGACACTCACAGAACTAGTGATCTTGAACAATATGATTGGGTCTCTTGCAACGAATGCGATTGATGAATTACTCCGACGGAATGTAAAAGGAAGAAAATCGTGAATGGTAATATCAAATTTATTTAGAGGAGGAATAAATTGCTAGTGATGATTATGGGAGTATTTTTTTCTGTTATAATTTTGACAGAAATATTAAATAAAGCTACTCGGTTTCAAACTTAATTTGTATTCTGGCGAAAATGTTTTGTTCAGCATTTTTGGTTTTTAAGAAGGAGGATGATGGCGCTGCTAAAAATCAGAACTTTTACAGAATAATTCGGTGAGTGTGTGGCGCATACAAAACTAAGCTGATATTTTCTATAACAATATTAAATTAAAAACAAAATTGATTCATCAAATCAAACCTCTCATCAAATTTATGATAATTATGAATATTGCCCCATTTACCAACAGCAATTGCGCTGAAGTTTTTATGATAATTATTCATTTGGCAGTTGTACATTATTTCCCCGACTAATTCTGAAATACTCTCTTCCTTGTACCCACTTGTAACAATCCATCAGAAATACTTTGTAAAAGTTCTTTCTCTATCGCCTATCATTTGCATAATAAGACCAGGAATGGTCATACACCCAACAATACGAAACAAAGCTGTTCAAGGTCTGTTTCAACTTCACATCGTAAATACTGTATTAAAAAGAACGAAATCATTTTCTTTTACTAGAGAATAATATAACGTACAGAATTAGTTGAGTGAGGTAATATTCCATAACAATCAGTAACTTCTTGTTTTGTGTGCATTTTTCAGTTCCATATTTCACTTGCATGTGGGACGTCACTTTTCGAATAGGTATAATTGCAAACGCAACATTCTTTATCTGCTCTAATTTATTGACTATCAGTTCATTATTAAAACTTTCACATAAGTACATGAACTTATTCTCTTGGGGTGACTGATGTACAAGATCGCTTTGAAATCTCAATCACTCGATAGCAGCTCTCCAAGGTATTTGGTTAATAAGTAATAGAAGATGAGAAAAATAACAAAACTATAGGACACATACATTATTCAATATCATCTCTTACTAATTCAATACAATTCAAAAAAAACAGATGTAGCTGAAAGTTTCAAGCGTAAGAAATGCTTGGTGGCAATAGCAGGAAGAAAGAATTTTTTTCTCTTTACTACTCTTCAACGTCCTTCATACGACAAAATGTGCGTTTACGTTCTATCAACCATATCTTTTTTTTGTATAAAAGGTAGAAGCATATTTGAATAAGTAATATTCTTCGTATTTCCTTTTTTATTTTACTAATGTATATGGTAACGTTCCTTTCTTTCATAGAATACGTATTTTACATTTACTATATATTCGAAATTTTGTTTTAGATGGAAGAACTTGATCATGTGCCATTAGAAACAATGAAACCTAATTATCTCAATCTGCTTCGAGAAATCGATAAACTTTTAAGTTTATCAACTAATTTAAATATCAATAAAATAGAGACAATCTTTAACAATATAACTGAGAATATTGATCGAATATTGGATCAAATGGTTTTTCAAAAAAGTTCAATGTTTCTCATTACAACATTAAATATAATTGTACGCATTTCTGCTGTCGATGGATCTGATTTGTTTATATCACGACAACCTTTTCATTCAATGTTTAAAAAATTGAATCATCTGATAAAGTGTATTCGTAATAAAAAAGATTATTCTCCAGTGAATGCCAGTGATATTTTGGATGCAATACTTCTGAATCTTGTAAAAGATGATTTTATTGAAATTTGCTTTCGACGAATTCTTTCAAATGAAACAGCAGCAATCAAAGGTAATATTCTTAGTATTGGGAGATGTTTATTAATAGACGTTCGCTATTATTTAGATTCTATCCAAACCAATAAAGAATCTTCCCAAGAAAAAAGTATTGAATTTTACAATATTCTGAACCAATACCTAATCCATACTATCAACTTTGTTTACAAAGCAGTTATTCAGCCGAATAAAGAATTTAGAAACAGTTACACTTCTCTTATGATCTCTTTACGAGAATTTATTAATAATTTCCTAACAAATACAAACGAACATGTTTCTTGGCATATACTATGTGTAACAACTTGCATTTTAACTCTATTATGGAATTTGACCGATAAACTTGCAATAGTTTCTATATGTATTGATGTTGGTTATATTCAAAAAACTATTCAGTGGATTCGTTCAGATATATTTGCGTCTCATATGAGTTATATTGGCAATCCAATCGTTTGCATTGTTTACAATTTATCGAGAGACAAGACAGGTTTAAAACAGCTTCATACAGAAAAAGCCTTTGATATTTTGATGGAACGTAAGCAGTTAATCAATAATAAAAACTATAGTGACTTGACAGAAAGTTATGGCCGGGCATTGATCGCACTAGCTACTAGTGATGAACAATCAGAAGAAAATAAAAAACTCATTCTTGATACTAGTAAAAATTTATATCAATTATGTAAGAAAATTGATCAAAACGATGACTTAGCATTTGAAGGATATCATTTATCGGAATTATTGGAATTATTAGATCGTGCTTTCACAAATACATATGTAATAAAACATATTCTGGAAGATAAGATCAATGAAAAATCAACAGCAATACAGTACTTTATAGAACTTTTTTTATCTCTTTACGGAGCTCTGCTGGATCCAGAACCAGATGAACTTGAAAAACGTGCTGTCAAATATTTACTTCGAATTCTATTACAGATTTCCAGTTATCCAGAATATCTCAAACAATTAATTGATAATCAACAGTTTTGTATAATCATAGAAAGTCTGGCTAATCGTCCAAAACGGGATGATGCAAAGCGTATTTGGTGTAATATTCAGCAAATTATGTCACCAAATGAACAGAAAAAAGAAATGTCATCGAAAATCTACATTAGTTATGATTATACCGACGAAGAGTTTTGTAGAGAATTTGTAAAAGAGTTGCGTAAGAGAATGACGACACCAATTTGGATTGACTATGAAAATATTGATCTGTCTGATGATATGTGGGAATACGTATCTCCAAATATTATATCGGCAACAATGGTTATTATCTTGGTATCAACAGCTTATGGTGATAGTACTGATAAATTTCAAGAATTATCTTATATCATTTCTACTAATAAATCAAGAGATGAAAAGAAAGGCTTAATCGTAGTCGCAATTGAACCCAATTTCAGTTTCAATCGATCTTGGATGAAAGATCTGTTACATGACAAGCCTATGGTACCCTGTGAAAATAATATTGATCATATGGCTTGGAATGTATGTGAACAGCTTGGTATGTTGAAGAAGCCGCGAATTAAATGTTTAAATTGGATATCCAAAAATTTACGAAGAGAAACAGCTCAATCCGATGATTTTTCAACCAAAACTTTGAAACTGATTCCAGAAAACGATAAAATCTATTCTCAAAAGGAATCTTCACAAGTGGACGGCAGTACCGATATTTTACTTGCATCAGAAATACATAATTCACAGTCCAATATTACTGGATCCGTCAGTGGTTCAACCTGGGTATGAAAACATGAAATAATACTACTAGAATTTAGATTAAAGTTAATTTGTATTTTAAAAAAAAAGACATCAAATATCGTTTGTTATTTCGACTAGTTTTTACTAATAAAAAATATATAATCTATGATATTTTAGCTCTATGGATTTCACATACATTTTTGAAAACTATAATCTTGATGGTGTGAGTGAGTAAAAAGAATAACGACACACTCACACACAGCCACCCCACCCTCAGGACGATCTTGAGAGTGTGGGGGCGTGCGGGTGTGCGTGTGCGTGTGAATATGAGGTTTATCTTCTTCAATGACTACATCCGCACTCACAACGTTAGCATTTTGTGCCCATTATTTTAACGCTGTATAACCCTTTCTTTCAGAAAAGGGAATATTATACTTAATACAATTTTTCTTTTGATATTCACAATCTTGAACAATTATCACAATAAGTCTTATTGATATATGTAACTTAGAAAAAATAAATTTGTATTTTGCTAGTGATAACACACTCGAAATTAATAAGTAATGTGTGGAATCGACAGAGCCCGTCGAGCTGGATCTGGAATCAGGTAGAGTAGAGTTGGAATCACTTCACAGGCAAATTAGGAGCTACGATATCCTACGTGAGTTGACTGGAATATGTTTGATTCTCAGGAGAGATGATAATTCGGTGAAACATCTATTATTTATTATAATACAATTAATAGAGCTATCAAGTCGTTCCTAATAGCTCTCTCAAATTAAGTCAAACAATTATTGGTGAATATAGGTGAAGATCAACAGAAATGAATCGGATATTCATTTCCGTCGCACACGGGTGATGGGCCATGAAAGACCAGGAAGCACTATTAATTATATTATAATTAATAAGTCTACGTTTTCTCTCTTTTTCTTACGTGAATATGGTTATCATCAAATTTCACAAGAAAATATAAACAAACTCGTTTGTTCCCGTTTGATAGATGTTGCGTCTAGCTTCTAATACACATTCGAATGAAATAAAATCCATAATGAATGTCTAACTGTATAAGTTATGGGACCCTTCGACGTAGTTTCGCATAACCATAGCTTGAGAAATATTGTTTTTTTTCGACAATGAGCAAGCAAACTATTTTATTTCATATGATCCTTTCTTCAGTGAAGACGACAAACAATACGCTAGGACAATAGCAAACGGCGAAAAAAGCAACAACATAAAATACAACACTTGACACGACATATAGGTCTCTTTTTAACAATCAGTGAATCGTTGTTAAAACTAGTTTTGGATAAAGCTGCGTGTATTGTTACGTTCGTTCATTTGGAGCAACTTGATTGGTCTTGCACCAACCGAAGAGTCGTTTTGTTGCTGTTTGACGAAAGCGACTTGAAGAGATGAAAAAAACGTAGAAACTACCCTAGAAATCATATAAAACAACATGAGAAATCTATATATAATAAACGAACTATACCGCAAATTGGGCCCACGTTAGGAGGCCAGTCATTGTGTTGAAAATGTACTGTATAGAATTAGGATCTACGCTAAAACTTATACCGAACATACACCACATATAGATATTGTAAATAGCATAGGGAGCTTCACATGAAACCACTAGTATGACTTGCATACAAATCATTCGAGTCACTTGTTTCTGGGCTCCTTGATCAGCAAGAGCAGTTGTTTGTTGAATATTTTGATAGGCCAACCATCCAAAGGTGATCAATACAATACTGACCGCGACAGTGAGTACAGTGAAAATGAATAGTGGTACGTAGACTTGAAAAACATTGTTTGTGTAAGTACAATAGACAGTGTTTGGTGTAAGGTTGCCAAACAAAAAATATGGGATACCGTATAAACAACCAGAGACAATAACAATGATCACATTACGATGAGCCCACTTGATATTACTCCAGTTGCGTACACGATTATTTGATGATGTCACGAAAAATTGATTGATAGTGGCCAAACATGCGTAAGTATAAGAAACAAAAGAAAGCGTGCCGCTGAAATATCTTCTGAATTTACACCATGTGTTTGAAGTAAGACCTACCTCGAATGCAAATCCATCATATGCAATACGCGGGGCAACAATAATCAACATTATGAGAATGTTTTGGGCTGAGTCAACAAGATAATAGAATGTAGAAGGTTGCGTGCGATAGTTACGCACACTCGCAAAAACAATGATGTTCATTGTATTACCTATTATGCCCGTTATAAAGATAAAGAGTCCGAAGTAGATATTACATTGGCGATTGATGTATAAGAATGAAGTGACCATTTTTCTTATTAAGTGTACGATTGAGAAATCTAAAATGCATATTTAATAGTTAATTAGACATCCAGATTTGGCGTTTATAAAGATATTTGATGAACTCTTTCCACGCACTATACAGTTACAGCGTAAAATGAAAGCATCATAGTTTGTTGAGAAGACTAGAGATATTCTCATGCGCTGTCTAATTTAATTTCGAATTCAAATGTATTTTTGACTCTAAAATATCAATTGGGAATACATCAGACAGAATTGAGTCGAGATCTTAATATAATAAATGCGAGAGATAAAATTCTATCTAAAATTTATCTCAAATAAAGTCCTGTTACCAGTATTATCAAGATACTGAGAAAAAAAAATAAGCTACAGAGCATTCAAGATCGTAAGTAAGAATGAAGACAAGAAACTTTACCATGCATTTGCTACTAAATTATAAAACTCGTAGTTAAAATAAACTTATATTTTCTGCCTCAATTATATAGATGCTTCAGATGAGTTATAATTTATAAATGACATGAAAGCGTTACATCAACTTTACTTTATTACGCAGATGCACTTCAAAAAAATGTAAAAAAAGAAAGATATTTTTATTATAAAATTATCTTTCTTTTTCTTTCCACTTACATAAATATTTAGTTTGTATTATAGAGTATAACTGACATGCAATTATCTTTTGCTCTATTACCTCTTTTATAAGACGGATTGACAGAAAATGAAGAAAATAACTAGTAGCATTTTCCCTATGAAATTTAAAAAATAAATATGATTTAACTGTTGTTGTTGATAAGAGAAAGAAAAAATCTACTTAAGAAAATCGATCGAAACAGTAAACGTTTAAAATATCCGAAACGGGAATTCAGTCAGTTTAATAGCAGACACTATCTTGAGGATGTAAGTGACGGAAGAGCAAGTCATCCACATTATCAAGATGGTCACTTACATCGACAAGCGCCATACGCCTATAGTGAAAATAGAGTGATATTGATGCATTTTAGATTTATAGAATTTGACAAGTGAAAATTGTGATCGTTGTCGTGAACAATTAGTCGGTTGAATACTGAGAGATCAAATGCGTCATTTAGTTTGCGAGTTGTTGAAGCATTTGACAGTAGAAAAGATTGTTATTTTTCAGTCGATTCAAATAAGAATTTGAAAATATTTAAGAAAATTATTTTTCTTTTCATTTTGCTCTATAAAAGTGAAAAAACTCAGTAGAAATATTTTTAATTATGTTTTGAAAATAAAACTTAAAGAGATTTTATCTGAATGTTTTTCATTAGTTCTCTCTGAAACAAAAATTTAATTGTAAAAATTATTTATTTCTTTCTCATTTCTTACTTGTGTTTCTTCTGTCACAATGAAGAAAAGTTTTCTTTCAAATTTATTAATTGGCATTCTCTCGATGATGAATGAGATAGGAAATCGATAGAACTTGTCGAGATCTACTTAGACTCGGTCATTAGCCGGAGCTCAGTAATAAAACATGAATATTATATCCAGAATATCCCACGTATTAAAAATAATTTCTTTAAGCTTTTCAGAAGCTCACTCAATACTCTTGAACAAAAACAGATACAGCATTTCCAAACTTGTCTTCAAAAACAGCACAAACTTCTGATTCTATATATACAGTTGTCGCTTCGGTCGAATGCTCTCAATCAAGTCAAAGTAAACAAATATAGGATGAAATAACGCAAGGTGATATGCCCTCTTCTTAGCGCAAATCAAGACGAGGATAAAAAGTCTTTCTCGCTTCATTCTTAGGTGTCAAAAACTCGTCTTAAATCATCATCTGGAGCAGTTTTCGACACTCCATCAATATTTTGTCTAGGTCTTTTAATATATCTTGAGATGTTTATTCTTATTTTTAGGGGTGAGTGTGGATTAAGAGAAGAGGCACCCACGCCTTCACTCATTAAATTTTAGATGAAAATATTTCAAAAAAAAGAATTCGTTCGAATATTTATAAGCAATTGATTAATTCGTTTATTGATACCATAAAATGCTGAATCTTGAGGGTGTGGGTGTGAGATAGAATTCTTATCACATCCACGCTCTAGTCATTAAAAAATAAACGATTAGTTGTACACTAGTTTCATATATCTAAAATATTATGTCAAATATTTTCTTCTATTTTCTAAGTTGAATTCCATCAGAAATTTAATAATATAAATAAATATCATAAAATACGAAAATTGAGATTATATAAAATTAATAATAGATCCCAGGGTGTGGGTGTGGGTGTGGGTGTATCTTATTTATTTCACCCACACCCTACTTTTTACTAACAAATTGTTTTTTCATTAAATTTATTTTCATCGATAAGAAAAAAATCATCATAAATCGTTGCTTTATTTATAATGTCATCTCAAACTAAAATATTCTACATAGAAATGATTGATTCCAGTCGGATTTTTATTTATAGAAACATAAATATATATAACCAAGATCAAATCTCTCATTTTTTGTTTATTTCACTTGTTTTTTTGAGAATTTTACGCAGGATTAAAAAAAACTGTTAAACATATTCTTATCTTTATTCGACATAAAATAAATTTTAAGAATAGATAAAATACATTAAGGAATATTTATGAAGAAATATTCATTCTTGAAATAAAATAATTCTGAAAAAGATTAACAAAGTGAACAAATTCAATGGTTAGTTATAAGAAAAATCAACACTATTTAAAGAATTCTAAATGAGTATTTTTTTTTTAATATTTAGTCTGAATCAGAGAATAAAAACAATATTAAACAATCTACTCGTCCACAAGCAGGGTCGTAAGTATTTTATTTATTTATTCGAAATATATCTATGATTTTAGATCTTTATTTCATCGGAAAGCAAAATTGATTTTAATTATTATTATTGCTCTCAGCTTAATAATTATCATTAGTATTGCAATATGGGCTATTTTCATTAAAAAGCCCGGAACAACAATTAATACAACTACAACTACAAGTGATGCATCGACAACAGCAATGAATGGTAAAGTTTTGTTACAAAAGAAAAAAGAAAACTTGACATATTTCTTGGGTTAAAAAAATTAAGGTTTACACGTAAATTCCAACTTTGTAAATCACTTACGCATCCATATTTTATCTAGTGGCATTTGAAATTACATAATCGCCCTAAAAAAAGTAATAATTAAATACAAAAGAAATCTGTTACGGAATGGAAAGTGCTGTTTCCAAAACAGAATAACAGTACTCAGTACCTGGAAGTATCATTGCCATAACAACAATTGTGTTCTATTTTTGGGAGTTTTGAGGTGTGGATATATTAGAAGAATCACTCACACCCTAATAGATAAAATTTATTTCTAATTGAAATATTTGAAATCTTTATTAATTTATTTTATTTTACACAAATTTTTCAATTCAAAAGACTTCCTTTATTGGCAAACATTCTAAAATATTTCTCGTTTACAAATTTTTATTTAACAAAAAACAAATTAACAAAATCTTTTTATCATTTTTATTTTCCTTCCTTTTCTTTTCAAATCAGATATTTCTCAATTTGTTTCGAAAATAAATTATCTTGCAATAAAAATGCGTTTTCTTCCAAATACAAAACTTCAAATGTTTTCTTCTTTTTCAGTAAGTTTTTTTCAAAATTCAACTTTAACAAAAAAAACAAACTCAAAGTTTCATTGAAAACTAATCGTTTCTTTTTTTCTTTGATAACTCACACAATTTCCTTCTTCCTTTCATCAAAATCTTTTATTTTCATCATTTTCTAGTATCGAAATTCAAGAAATGAAAACAAAATGCCATCACTGTGGCTGATGGGAATGGACCAGGACAAGAATTAGGGTGTGGGGTAGGTGTGAGTGTATACTTCTTTTTTTTATTTCATTCACACCCACACCCACACCCTCAATAATAATCCAGAAAATCCAGAAGCATTCGGTACAGATATGGACTTGCATAAGCATTGTTATCCTATTTTCATATGTATTAATCATCTTGAGGGTGGATGTTGTTTCTAAACATCAAATATATTCACGCACGAATGTATCTACACACAATAATGGACGATTCTTTGGCATTACAAAAATAAATCCTTTTGTTTTAGTAAATCTTTCTGTTGTAACGAACACTTTAATAATAAATGATAAGTCTCTGATCTATAATAATTTATGTTTTACTGACTATTTAAATTTTTGCATGTTTTTTGTTTAAGTTAATTAATGATTTTCAATAGTTTATATAGATTTATGACAATTACTAGATGACACACGAGCCGACACTCGTCTGCGAAATCTGATGCGAAGCTCGATTCCAAAATAACGATTTTAAGGTTTTCACAAAATTCTTAAACACTTGTTAGCAAGACTGAATGCCTAACTTCTGCTTCTCGTTTTAATTATCTCGAAATTTAAAAAAAGTCCAAATCATGTTTTTGCGACGCTAATTACTGTAAACGAACAAAACATCCTGTGAAAATTGGAAAACGAATAGTATCAGTTCGATCGTGGTATAATAATCTCGCGTTTAAACAAATATTTTCCAATGTTCCATTGCTGAGATCAGCGCAGTATAAAATTACCGCTCTGAATGCATACGTCGAGAAAGGAAAAAGAAAGAAAGAAAACTCGCGAAGAAGTATATAAATGCTTTGCTTCGCATCGGATTAATTATTTTATTCTTGTCATCATCAATGTCTACAGATATTCTTAAGCTTGCCACACGATATTCACTCTATAGTGGTTGTATTTCATTTACTTTCGGAATCATTGGTAATATTCTCAATATTCTTGTTTTTACTCAGTTAAAACTCTTTCGAGATAACCGATGTGCTTTCTATATAATGGTTGAATCGATTAACAACTTTATTTATCAATTTGTAACTATTACTGTAACAATTTTAACATTAACATATGGTAACGATGCAACAGGACGATCTCTCGGTTGATGCAAATTTAGATATATGTTAGGACAGACATTTGCTCTCACTTCATATTACACAGTATGTCTTACTGCTATTGATCAGTTCTTTTCAACAAATCATCAATTCCGTTTGAGACAAATGTGTACAATAAAATTAGCTCGATATGTTACCTTTATATCTATTTGTATTTGGACAGCTCATAGCATTCTTTCTGGTTGGTTTTTCGATATTCAAGAATCTCTTGGATGTGTTATATCAAATCCAATATGGCAACAGTATATATCATCGTTTTTTTATCCAGTTTTAGCTGGTCTTTTACCTATTACAATTGTATTATTATTTAGTTTATTAGCTTTTCATAATGTTCGTCGTATAGTTCGTCGACAAATACCAATTGTTCGTCGTCGATTAGATCAACAATTAACAGCAATGGTTCTTATGCGTGCTGTCATTGCTGCTTGTTTCATATTACCATACACTATATATCGTATTTATATTATTAAATTTCCCGTTTCACAAAACCAGTCTATGGAATATGCAATTGTACGATTAATTCAAGCAGTCTTTCTCTCTTTAATTAATATACATTTTTCGGTAAAATTATTTTTTTAAATTTAATTAACCTTTTTTTGATATATTTATTTTTAATAGGCAAGTTTCTATATTTTTCTCATATTATCATCACGTTTTCGTCGTCAAGTGAAATTTCTTTTGGTTAAAAAATATTGGCAACGATTGAAATACTTGTGTCATTTAAGTAATAATCAAATTAATCCAGAAAATGCAGAAGCATTCGGTGCAGATATGGAACTTGCATAAGAATTGTTATCATATTTCATATGTATTAATCGTCTTGATGGTGGATGTGGATGTTGTTTCTAAACATCATATATATTCACGCACGAACGTACCTACACGCAATAGTGGACGATTCTTTGAACATTACAAACATTGATGTGTTTGTTTTAGTAAATCTTTCTGTTGTAAAAATTATTTTAATAATAAATGATGAATCTATGATCTATAATCATTTATGTTTTACTGACTATTTAAATTTTTGCATGTTTTTTGTTTAAGCCAATTAGTGATTTGCTGTAGTTGATGCAGAATTATGATAACAAAAAGGAGGAACTATAATTTTATGTTCGCAATCTCTTTTTTGTTTTTTATCATAAAGTCGATTATCTGACACGAATAAACTCATCAATGGTAAATCATGAAAGTGTAACAAAGCGTTTATGTTTATTTAAAACAACGTACATTCATATAAAATATTTTTTTTTGTTTCACAATTAGTAAAATAATGTCAACTCAAGATATATTGATTTTCGTAACACGAAAAGCTAATATCTATTCTGGTTTATCAATGATGATCTTAGGTGTTATTGATGAAATATTTAATATTATAATTTTTACAACACTGAAAACATTTCGAGAAATAACTTGTGCATTTTATCTTACTGCTGTTTCAGTGATTAATATCATCTAATTTCTAATAGTATTGTTTGTACGTATTTTTAGTAAAGGTTTTTCTACTAATATTAGAAAACCATCGTGGGTATATGATGTTTTTTTGTATCAACTACGTATGTATGTTTAGCAACAATTGATCAATTCTTATCAATGAGTCACTATAGACGTTTCAGTAATTTACAATTTGCTCAACGTTGTATATTCATTACTGGAATTTTTTGGGATTTATATAGTACTTATTCTCTCATCTATGTTGATGCATCTTTAGGAATATGTACGATTATTAATTCAAATTTTTTAATATATATAACTCGCTTTCATTTCGATAAAAATATTCTAAAATCAATTCTCATTTAAATGAAGTTTTTATTTTTATTAGATCTAGTCTCCTACAGTCAGTTTAGTAAAAATAGGAGGCTTGAATAATCAATTTCATGCTTTTCGTCTAAAACTCTAGAGTATTGTTTCATCAGAAGAAATTAACAAACATATATAATCTATATTACTGTTTTTTCTATTTATTAAAAACAATGAGGATTGTCAAGGTGAGTCAAACTTTGCGTTAGCCAAACTCGAGTCCACAGTTTATTTATATCAGTTGTACTATGAAGAAAATTTTCAATAGAGATCCTGCTCTCCGTTCATCTTGAGGGTATGGGTGTTAGATAGATTATATACCAACACATCCATCCTTACTCACACCCTAATTTTTTCTTTCTTTTTTCCTTGCTCTTCTGGATTCTCTAATTTTCTGATTCTTAATTTACTCTTTCCTCTTCTCTTTTTTGTTATTTGCTTCATTTTTGCTCGATTAAATTATGAAATACGATATCGTCGTTAGTTATTTTTTCTCGTAGTTTATTATTTTTTATGAAACTGCACTTTGTACACGTTTAAATATATCTTTAAAATAAACAGCACAATCAAAAAACAACAACAAAGACTATTATGTAGAACTATTTGCTACATATAGAATAATATAACATTTAACTTTAACCATCGTGATCGGAAAAAAATCTGTATAGCGGACCATATGCGTGAAATTTTTAAAAATTGTTTCGCTTATAATTCTCATTGAAATCCCTGGAACACATCTGAGAAACTTTCCTTGTTAGATCACCTAGTCGTAAGGTATAGTATACAAAGTGTAAATATAAGGGAAAAAAACTAGAGCAAATATTGTGTTGCCTGACTTATGAACCACTCGGTATATCTTCCATAAAGTTTGTTTTTATGAATATAATCAATTTTTCTAGTGCCTATTGAAATATTCCATTGTACTTTTATCTAAAATAAAGATAATAAAATACTGCCCTATTTTTTTGTCATGCTTTTTTTCTGCTTCATTACAAAACTTATTAAATGAATTTCTTTCTTCGTATTGTTCTAATTACTTGTTAAAATAATTTCCTTAATTTTCTATCCAGTGTTTTTATCTCTCTCTTTCTCTGAATTCTATTATTTATTCTATCTACGTTTTTCTAGAATATTCACTAATGCTCATTTAAATATTCATTTTTCAAGAAATGAGAAGTTGAGAGAGATTTTTTTTCCTCATTGATATTATGCCTTAACATTTTCTACTATAAAACTCTCGTAATGATAATAAGGTAAGTAGATATTATTATAAAGAATAAGATAATTGTGTCAGTAAATCGAGTGAATATTGATTTGTTTTTGTATATTATCTGTCAATTATATCAAGCTTAAAGTAAACAAACACTGCTGTTTTCTTTTTTTTTATTTAATTCAGTTATGTAAATGGTAAGTGTTCTTCCTTTCCCCAGAACTATTTGAACGTTGAACTAAAACAACTCGAGACTGATATATCCACACATGATTTTAATGATTTATGTTCTATTATACGTACCAGGGTTGAAATATAATTTCTATTCAAAGACTTTTCTCTCAGTTAAATCTATGCATTTTCTTGATAATTATAAATATTCTTGGAAAGTAAATGACGGATATTATTATAACAGACGCATTCAAGCGAACTATTAAAATAAAAATAAAATCTATTCGATAAAATAAAACAATTTCCTTCCTAAATTAAATGAAAAAATACAATATATTCAGAAATAATTGAATTCAATGATGATCATCACAAATCGTGCATGACTTGGCATCCATTAGAAAAGGATATTTTTCTCCATGAAATATTTTTTTAATTAAATTTTTCAGGGTGTGGGTGTGGGTGAGAGATGATTATAACATCCAGACTAATACTCACACCAATATTTTCTTACATCTACATTCTATTTCAATTTTTAGATAATAGGCTTGTATTAGCAATGAAAATCAGAAATTTTGTTGCATGGTTTCATGATTATGTACACACGTACAATCTGTTTATACCAGACGAAGATCATTATGAGGATGACACTGATCAGCCAATAGATCCAACAATACGTGTCAAGCAACAGAAGCATTCTACATGGCTCTACGTTTTTCTTTTCATTAGTGAGTTAATAAAAATAATTTGTTTTTTAATAGAAATATAACGGAAGCTCATAATATTATCTAAATAATAGTGTAATGTGTTTCATTTTATCATCTTTTGTTTCTAGTTTCACTTTACGTGTTGTTCTTCATCGCATTGTTAAGTCCAACAAGTCGTATCGTTACCATTTCAAATCTTACTCCATCGCTCTTTGATCAACTTCATCGTGAACATGGTGAAACACTCTCATGTCCATGTTCAACTATTACCATACCTTATAGCACTTTCGTTACAAATATGGTCTCATTTCATCCTGTATGTTCGAGCGTTTTCGTTAGTAGAGAATGGGTTGAAGGATTTTACCTACCAGTAGCTAATGGATACTTATTGGACGATTTTCGAACAACAGCATTTTCTCAGGTGGGTTGAAAACATATCTTCTATTTATATTAAAAGAAAAAGAATTGATAAAAGCAAATTATTACAATAAAATAAAGCTCAGTGAAGACAAACACATGAAACCTCTGTTTTTGTATAGTCGTATGATATTATTCGTTGCATTTAAGATACTAATACGTTCTGTGGAGTGACTAAATTTAATTGAAAAGTAATTGAGATCTTTTTTCTGATTTTGATTTAAATAAAACTTTGAAATAAACAAATCGATAAAAGACTAATCTTACTTTTTTTATTTAATTGTAAAAGTCAATCGCGATGCTTTGCATAGTTATCATCATACCCACACCCACACCTCATTATATGAAATCTATTGTTCTGTTTCTAGTTCGAATTGCTAGCTGCTCTTTGTTCAATTTCAAACGACACAGTTTCAAAAGCACTATTAGATATTCAAAATAATCAACTTGTTACAGTTGAGCTTCTTGAAGAAGAAGATATTCAATCGCAAGTAGAAGCCATGGTTAAACTTGTTCAAACAACCGCATATGTTCAAGTTACTTCATTTTTACAACTCGTCCAAATGATGTATCGTTCCAATACTCTTGTGTCTGCTTTTGGAACGAATGCAGTTGTTCAAATAGGCTCTGGTAGAGTATTAATCTATTCTACGAATTACGTGCGCCCATACATTACTGAGATTAACCCGTCGTACGCTTTAAGTTGCGCCGAAACGAACATGAAAACTCCAGCTGTTTTCTATGCTCAACCATTAGATACGAGTATAAATGATCATATAGATTGGCCTACTTACCATGGTGCCTATAGTAGTTCAATTATTTCTGCGAGCATCGACGGATTCTTCGGAGGATGTTTTGCTCTGGATTCTATTCTTAACAGTACACTTGATTGTTTGCACAACTTTCAATGTCTAGAAACTTTATTTGATTATTTTCCAGCTCTTAATCAAGTATAATATATTTAATTTGATATATATCGAAGTAATTCTTTTCTTCTAGTCAAAATTCAAATTGATCGATCTTCCTCTATCTTCTGGTCGACGAAATATCTCTGTAAACGATCTTGTCTCTGATCTATTTATTGAACAAAATTCAACCAAAATCAACTACACGAATTATTTTAATCAATGTGCTCCTTTAGTGTGTACATATTCTACCATAGATTCGATCAATTTATCATCTATCCTGTCTCTTTTAATCAGTCTCTATGGTGGTCTGACTGCTATTCTTCGGTTAATTGCACCTTTATTGATCACGATTATATGGAAAATTCGACATCGTCCAATAAAAATCACTATTAACTATGGTATGTTTTATCGATAATAGAAGTAATATTACTCTATGAAATGATTCGTATTTTTAAAATTCTAGAGTATTGTTTATCATCTGTTCGTAACTTAACTCGGTGGATGAAACAGTTGAACATATTCAAATCAGCTGCGAATAGAACAGCGGATGATATCAAACAACAGCGTATCAGCACATATTGTTTTCTCATTTTACTGACAGGTACGTATCTTCGTTTACAACCTGTGCGACCTACTCAGTGAGATGATGTTAGAATCAAGACAATCTTGAGAATAAAAAATTCAGCTTTTCTGTCCTTATACTAATATAATATTATCTGCAATGTACTATACTGATTCGTATTCATTTATATACAATAGAATCACGATAAAAATATGAAGAATTGTTCTGATGGACCTAAGTTTTTTTTCCTCGTTCTAGGTTCTATTCTTTGTCTTCTTCTTTTTAATTCACTCAAAAGTCAAACAATTACAATCATTGAAAAAAATCCATCGTTAACTAAATACAAACAATTACAAATCCTTTATCCAGATACACTTACATGTCCTTGTGCAAATACTACAATGCCTTATAAGACATTTGTTTCCTTGTCTCCCATTTTTCATCAAATATGCTCAAGTGATTTAATTAGCGAATCATGGATTTCACTACTATCGAATAGCGGTCCGAATGATGTGTTGGGTGGTTCATGGATTAGTAAAGCTGCTCAATACTTTGGATTACTGTCTAGTATTTGCCAACTAGCTAATTCGACAGCTACTAACAATACTCATGTTTTTTTCGCACGCACTTTTGTTACTTCCTATGTGCTTATCGAAACAGATTTTAATATTCAAGTAAATGCAACCGTCAAGCAACTGACTGAATCAATTGTGATCAGTTTTAATCTTTTCAATATTATGACACGTCTTTTCATTCAGGCTGATCAACCAATAATAGTATCACCGGAGTATAATTCTCAAGTAAAACTGGATTATATAAATACTACAGCCGGTACTAAGAATCCACAAGCACTACATGTATGTTTATATTTAAATAATTCTCACATTTCTTTTTCTCCTTTAATTATGCGCTAGAATAATAAAACGATGATTTTCAATATACATATATTCATAGCTAGAGTTAGAAAGATTCTCAACCATTCCAATGAGCTTCGCCTTGGATAAAGGAAACAACATTATGATTTTGCCTGGTGGGCTGAAAATGATGATTGTTATCTGAAAGTAATCATTGATGAAGAGAAGATCAAATTCATATAGTATCTATTATAAATTTCAATCGAAGTATTTGATATGGTTTTTCTTCTCTTCTATTAAGAAAGTGTCATTATAGTTTAAATTACGAATACATTTAATTCTATATTCAGATCTTGTTAATCTTCACCAGCTATAAACAATTACCGATAAAACAGCATTAATATACTTATTAGAAGGATTCAAAATTATTGAAACTTTTGTAAAGCTTAAGTTTTGAATCTTATTTAATAGAATTCTGATTGAATTTTATTAATTCTTTTCTGTTTATTTAGTTTACATTTGTTTTTAATACTATTACGAAGAACAATTCGGTTTCGAGTGGTCCAATATGTCAATGTGTTGTTGATCCCAATTGTCAAGGACCCATCACTTTCGCAATTGAGGGTACAGCTGGTATTTTACGATTACCTGGTTATCATCCACCATATATTCCTAGTGCTTATGTGGCACCTGGATTGGTTGATGCATGTTATACTATTGATTTCCTTCTTCTATCAACACTTCAATGTTTCTATACAGATTCCAACTGTATGAACAAACTTATCTATTATACAAACAATAAAACATATCCGTCACCTGCAAATGATTCAAATTTGTATGCACATGCATTAATATATAACCAAACAACAACTCGTTTTCCTCCAAATACTTCAGTTTCATCAATAGTTGAAGAAATGATGATTGAACAATGGAATGCATCATTGTCATTTCCTGATTATTATAAAGCATGTGCACCAACTTATTGTACTTACACTCAAATAAAACATGCAGAAACTTTTAGCGAACTATTAGTGACACTGATTTCAACGGTCGGTGGTCTTGTTATGGTATTACGACTAATTACATTCCAACTCGTTAAGATAATTTTTGGTTTATTTCAAAAAAAGCCGAAGAAACAACAACAAGGTAATTAAATAATAACATATAATATTGATCTAATTTTCATTATAGTTCGTCGAAAATTACTTGATCGATTCAAGGCGTTATTATCTAAACTAATAACATTTTTATCTGCAAAAATGTTGAATCTAAATATATTTCCTGCACGAATATTCGGAAGTAATATCGACCGAATAATGGTGAAATATCTTGGTCAATGGTCAACTCGTCTTTATCTTATTCTTCTAAGTATCATTTTTATCATTTTAACTCTTTATACAGCTATTCAACCACAAACATTGACCAAATCTTTTTCAACACCATCATTAAATTTCTATAAGAATTTGATGAATGATCATAGTGATGAACTTGAATGTCCATGTTCATTGATATCATCTCCATATGATGACTATGTTCAAATTCAACCGATATTTCATCAGGTAAGAAAAAAAAGATAACAATATTTTGTTATATTATTTCTCTAATAGATTTGTTCAAGTGATTTGATTTCAAATGAATGGAGATTAAATATTACAGCAAATTTAATTTCTAATTTGTCTGTTTATAATCATAGAGATTATCGTCTATTTCTCTCTACTCATTTACAATTTTTAAATGGATTATGTCAACTCTCTATGCAAACAGTAAATCAATCTATTCAACAATCTTTATCTTCATTAATGATTACTAAACAATTATTATCAGAAGAGAATTTTAATTTACATATTAATTCAATGATTAATGAAGCAAAATCTAATGCTCCCTCAACATTCATTCGTCTATTTTCGTTACTTCAAGCTACAAATCATGGAAATGCAATTGTCTCAGCATATGGAACTAATTATCAATACTTAGCTGCTGATGATAGTACATTTCAGAGCATTTTATATACTCAAGCAATGATCTATGATGATAACTGTTCATGTCAGTTAAATTCTACTTGTATTATTAATGCTTCGTTTATCGAAATAAATTCAACACAACCTATAACAATTAAAGGTTTGAAAATGGGTTGTACACCGAGTGAATCATTGTTAGCATCAACTCTCGAATGTTTTTATGATCAATCATGTATTAATCTTATTCAAACAATGGCAGGATACAATAAAAATATCACTCCGATTCCTCTCAACATAACTAATAGTCGATTTCTGATGAATATGACTGTAATGAATCTTATCAACGATCTATTTGTTGAGAAATGGTCAGCAATAATGAATTATTCATCATATTTTTATAAATGTTCACCAATGATCTGTTCATATACATATATTCAACAACTGGATTCATTCTATACACTAACTTATTTACTTGGTTTATATGGTGGTTTAACAATTGTTCTTAAATGGATCTCTCCGAAAATTGTTTATTTTATTAGCAAAATTTACCAACGCCGAAAGAAAACAACCAACTCGATCAAACCAATATCTACTGTTGAAAGTGAAACTATCGAAATAATGGACGCAAATAATATCAACAATACTACTGCGTCTTCACAATCATTACAGACAGTACCAACACATTCGTATGTCTCTTTTTCTTTTTTTTCTGTCGTATATTAATACGTAATGTCTTATCTTTATAGGAAAAAATTATTTTCGGTATCATCAAACTATTGGATCTTTGGTTTAATAGTGTTTATAATTGTGACAATAGGCATTCTTATTCCATTTATTTATGTTTTTCAAGAAAAAAAGAACCATTCTGCATCAACAGGTACGATATTCTTAATGATTTTCATTATCGAGTAATACGAGTCACAGATATAGTTAGAGACTAATATATATGAGAATATTTGCTCACTCTTCATTGAGTTTAGTCTAATTAGTGAACTTTATTCTAGTCTAGAACTTTTTCTATGTCAAAATGGACGAATATTTAGAATAATAAGCTAACGAGAGAAGATTTGTTTAGTTAGCATATCGTATGTTAAATCTATCTGATATTTAAGTTAAACAGAAATGTATTTCTTCTTAATTTCAATTTTGTCTTTTTTAGAATAAACAAAATCAACCGATCGAACAATTTCGAAAATATGAACATTTATTCACCATATTTTTTTTCAATTCTTTGGATGTATCTCTAAAGCTTTATCATTTTATTACATTATTTAATCTTTGAATATTGTTTTCTGCTTCATGTAATTCGTTCTCAATAAATGCTTATTCACTATTTCAAACGTTATCTATTTAATATTTTGATATTTTCAAGGGAAAATACTAAAAATAATTATATTGACAAACTTATCTTATCCGTACCATTTAATCATTGATTGATGCCATTACTTAAGTGAGACATAATCTATCTTATAGATTATTCACAAATTGAGGGTGTGGGTGTGGGTGTGGATATATTTATCTTCTCTGAATCCATACTCACACTCAAAATGACAACCATATTTCTCCAGTTTCCTATTATTTTTCGTTGTATAGTACAATTAGAATATATTGAAATCGATTATGCATCATGTAACAAGTGTTATATGTATGTTAAATTTATCTTGGATAAGGATAGATTCCGATGAATTATTGTTGAGTTTTTGTGATTTTTCAAATGTGAATTGTGTTTTATTTTTTCTCATTTTATGATCACTATCATATTACATGTTAAAAGATAAATTTTTAAATTGCGTTTTTGTAATCCATCCTAGCTATTTTGAAAAGGTCTTCTTCTTTTTTGTTATAAATGAAATGTAATAGATATCTATTATAGAGTGAGAAAAAACTCAAACATACCAAGTTCGAAAGTAAAATAAGAAGAAAAAAGAACTGTATATAAGACAATAGTTACCATTTAATCTCATATTTTTTTCAAAACAAAGACGACATACTGATACAAAATCAAAGGTATGGAATTATTTTATGAGAATCAGAGGAAAAGTTTTAAAATATTCAAGATCCGTAAAAAAAAGGAGATTTGAACCATGTTTCAGAGGATCACAAATTTTTTATTGTTTGGATTATAACCGCCAGTTATCTCTCAAAGAAGTTGTTGATAAAATGTTCTATACACTCTGAGCTCTTTGCTGAATTAAGGATCCATTCATAGTTAGATAAACCAGTCAAAGCGCAATCAAGCATCACTATTCGAACAAAACATTTTCCAATTCAAAACTTACTTATCTGAAACTCATTTTCTTTGTACAAGAAATGTTATGCTCTAAATGACTTCCCAATTCTAAGTGCACTTACAGTTACAATTAGTAGTATTCTTAATTTTGAGTGTGTAAAATGAAGCATTTAAAAAGCGTATTCATATTTGTGAATTAGGTAGAAAGAACTCCTAAGTCAAATGGATACGATTTCTATGATGATAATGGGCCTCATAATTATAACTTCAGACTGTTTGCGTTTCACAAATTCAGATGAGAGCAGCTACAACACGCGATTTCTATAATATAACTACTGTTTTTTAAGAGGAATAATCTAACAATCTTTTCATCACTGATGTAGTTCTAATATTTCTTTTTAATTGATTTTAGCTTTTCAGAATCAATCAGCATCACTAAGAAAAAAATTGCAACTACAGTATCATCAAAACCAACGCTTGGAAAATTACCTAAACCTAATTACCAAAATATGCAATATAAAAAACTTCTTATTGGCAAGAACGAAGAAGATGCAGAGATGGCTTCAAAACGAACGGATGCATTTGATGTATCACCAGAACGCAAAGTAAGTATTGTTGTGTTTAGGGATGCTGGCTAAGTATTGGCACTGCATTATCTCAGTGTTAACTTAACACTAATGCTAAGTTAGTATCTCTAATTCTGTCCTATCCGAATTTTAGCCAGAAAAGTAAATTGCTTATGTGCGTGAGTGTGTCAAAAAAAGTTACGAAATGGAATAACTATTTTAAAAAGAAAGATCTGAAAGAATTATTTTCATTGTATAAAAGATAGATGTGCAAATTGTGTAACAAGAGTTTTTTGAATGTTTTTCCGTTAAGAACAACAGAAGACGTCTTATCTCAGTAAACAGAAATAAATATTAGATATTTTTTCTTTACATAAAACAAACTTTAAATAATGTCAATACATTTTACGCTCACTACTACTTTTTATCAATAACTCTTTCTTCCAATAAGCTTATTCTCACTGACAAGAAAAAAATCATCATAAATCGTTGCATTATTTTTAATATCATCTCAAACTAAAATATTCTATATAGAAATGATTGATTCAAGTCCAATTTTTGTTTACAGAAACATAAATATATAGAATCAAGATCAAATTTATCATTATTTGTTTATTTCACTTATTTTTCTGAGAATCTCCACACAGGATCAAAAAGACTTTTAAACATATTCTTATCTTTATTCGACATAAAATAAATTTTAAAAATAGATGAAATACATTAAGGAATATTTATGAAGAAATATTCATTCTCGAAAGAAAATAATTCTGAAACAGATTAACGAATTGAACAAATTCGCTGATTAATCACAAGAATAATCAACATTGTTTAAAGAATTCTAAATGAATAATTTTTTTTAAATATTTAGTCTGAATCAGAAAATATAAACAATATTAAACAATCTACTCGTCCACGAACAGGATTGTAAGTATTTGATTCATATATTCGGAATATAACTATCATTTTAGATCTTTATTTCATCGGAATACAATATTGATTTTAATTATCATTGCCGTTCTTAGCCTAATAGCTATCATTAGTACTACAATATGGATTATTTTCATTGAAAAAGCCGAAACAACAATTAATACAACTACAACTACAAGGGATGCATCGACAGCAGAAACAACAATTCTTACAGCGTCAACAACAACAGCAGCAATGCTTACAACGTGGACAACAGAAACATCAATTCATACAACCTCAGCAGCAAAAACGACAATGCTTACAACGTCGACTAATTCTCACACAACAACAATGAGTAGTAAGTTTTGCTATAAAAGAAAAAATAAGAGTTGACATATTTCTTGTGCCTAAAAAAATAATCTTTACGTGTAAATTCCAGGTTTATAGCTCATGCATCCATATTTTATATAATGATATTTGAAATTATATAGTCGTCAAAAAAAAATGAATAACTAAGTACAGAAGAAATCTGTTATGGAATGTAAGATGCTATTTCCAAAACAGAATAAAAGTACTCAGCACCCAGAAGTAATACTTCCAAAACAGAACAAAAATATTTAGTACCTGAAAGAATCATTTCCATAACAGAACAATTGTGTTCTATTTTATTGGAATTTTGAGATGGGGTATATTATAAGAATCACTAACACCCTCAAACATTTTTCAAAAGAGCTTATTTTTATTTTCCAAACACAAAACTTCAAATGGCTTATGTTTTTTGTTGACAAAATCTTTTCAAAATTGAACAAAAAAATCAAATTAAATTTGTCTTCTCATCACGCATTTTTATAAATATTTCATTCAAAGTTGTTCCTTTCTCTTTCCTTTGATGAAAAACAGATTTTCTTCTTCTTCTTTTCATCAAAATCTTTTGTTTTCATTATTATCTAGAACCAAAATGGGATAAATGGAAACAAAATGCCATCACTGTGGCTGGTGGAAATGGAGAAGGACAAGAATTAAATCAACTCAATCGCTCTCACGGAATCTTCATTGATAAAAAGAAAAATATTTTCATTGCTGATAGTCATAATCATCGTATTGTTGAATGGAAATACAATGCAAATGAAGGACAAATCATTGCCGGCGGAAATGGCAACGGAAGCCGAATGGATCAATTGAGTTTTCCAATAGATGTGATTGTTGATGAACAAAATCATTCGATCATCATTGCTGATTATGGTAATAGACGAGTGATTCTATGGTTTAATCAAAATCAACAAATTCTCATTAAGAATATTACTTGTTACGGCTTGGCAATGGATAAACATGGATTTCTTTATGTTTCTGATTATCACAAGAATGAAGTGAGACGATGGAAAATGGGAGAATACAACAATGAAGGAATTGTAGTGGCTGGTGGAAATGAACAAGGAAGTCGACTCAATCAACTCCATACTCCTACTTTTATCTTTGTTGATGAAGATCAATCTATTTATGTACCAGATGTGAACAATAATCGTGTGGTGAAATGGAGAAAAGATGCAAAAGAAGGAACAGTTGTAGCTGGAAGATCTAGTCAAGGAAAAAGTCTCAGTCAGTTGTGTTTACCTAAAGGAGTAATTGTTGATGATTTGGGTCAAATCTATGTGGCAGATTTGTGTAACGATCGAATAATGCGTTGGTGTGAAGGAAAAGAAGAAGGTGAAATTGTCGTTGGTGGAAATGGTCAAGGAAATAAATCAAATCAATTGCATTATCCCTATGGTTTATCTTTTGATGATGAAGGAAATCTTTATGTTGCTGATTTTCTGAATCATCGAATTCAAAAATTTGAAATAATTTTGTGAATGAAATTTTGGTCTAAAAAAAGAACGAAGAAAAGTCTTTTTTGATTTTTTTCTTGAAATTTGAATTTAATTTGATAATTCTCATTAAAAAGTTCCAACAAATAAACGTTAAATTCTTCATCTTTTATTGAGTTTTGCGGAAGATAAGAAAAGAAAATATTTCGTCCTTAGAAATAAACTAAATAGAAATTATTCGAGAAGAAGATTTTGTGTTTCATAAAATTTAAAAATTGTTCAAAAATGAAACTCAAAATGAATTTTGTTGAACAAAACAAGTTTTAAAAAGATTTTCATATAGTATAGATAAAAATCTAGAATAAATTTCGAAGGAAAAATGAACTCAAAAATCTAAATAAAATAAAACAGTACTAAAACTTTCAACACAATTTAGTCTCATCAAGATCTCGGTCGAGTTCGAACTTCGAAGTTGAGCCATTCCTGATTTATTGCAAAAATACTGATATTTCCATATACACTTTTTGCAATACACATAACTCTCGGATAGAATCCGAAGTTTCCGCATTTATTTTTACTTTTAATCTGTTTTCTTTTAATTTCATTTTACCTTATTATTCATTAGTAAGTCAGTTACAGATTAGAAACCTAGCAAGCCAACATCAATATTACTGAATTTCGTATCCTTACGTGCTCTTCACAAAAGTTTGTATAGTTTTTTCTGTATTCGAAGAGACTCGATAAAACACCGTAAATCCTTCTCTTATTTTCTGTCAATGATACATTATGACTTTGCACCGCATGATTCATCGACAGTGAGAGAAAGAAAAGTTGATTGACGCACATATTTTTGTTCTCTTGTCGCGGAAAGTCGATGCTTTTATACACAACATACTTGAATCGTGCGGTCTTCACTTATATAGCAAATATTTCATAAGAGAATGGAGAATGTCACAGTTTGTTAGCTGACATCATTGGATTTTTTCAGCCTATACCTACACCCTCAAATAATCCATGTGTGTATGTCAATACAGTACTGATTTTTGAAGAGGAGAGAATGGGAAAAAAAGAAAAGTAAATCATACACGTTGTTTTTCTTCTTGCAAAATGATTGTGTTGAATAAATATATGAGTAATTTTTTTATTTTATCCCCTTAAAATGTACAAGGTATTATCCATGCATATCTTATTAACATAATTGTGACTAATCACTGTCCATTGATTCACAAATAAATATTATTTGGTAAAAACCAAAGCATTTCACTGAATATAAATACAGAAAGTTGCTTACTTTCGACAGTCACAACAACAACAACAGCTCCAATATATTCCAGTATTCATTTGCATCGTAAGTATATTTAATTAACTGAAATAAGCTGTTTTTTGGAAATGATTTTCATGTAATATTTTGCCCCAGAAATTTTGTTTCTCGATCTGAATAAATGTAACACTTGCACTTGAGAAAACCTCATTTCAGGGACTAGTTTTGATTTATCTAATAGAATAATAATTACAATCGTATAACATTGAGACAGTAGGTAGTATATTGCTAATGGAGAAAGGTGGATGTGAAAAAAATTCGATCGCCAACTCGTAAATAATTATTTTTTTAAAAAGTTAACACAGAAAAAAGGCTCCTTATGTAGTTTTCTTCCTTACTGAACTCTCGACAAGGTAAAAAAATATATCGGATATGAAATTTTTATATGATTTCTAGACCAAGATAATTGTAATTTTTTGTGGAACTATGTCAACATCTACTCAGCTTCAATGTGGTGGTCGAACTTGTGCTCAATGTGGAAAATGCTGTGATTGGGTTCCCACTTATTGCACTAACTATAAGCGTCGTGATGATGGAACTTGCACTGACAATACTGACACTCTTTATGAAGTTCTTTTTCGTACTGCGCTTGCTGTTTCTGATGCTCGTCCTTCTGCTCGTATATCTCAAAGAATTCCCCGTAGTCATGCTGCTAATCGTTGTCGTAGTGGTGTTGATGATCTTAACGCTGCGCTTAATGCTGCTATTCGTGATGGTGATCTTCATGAGGTTATTATTGATGCCCTTGCTCTTGCTGAAACGATTGCTTATGATATTGATCGTGCTCGTGATGGGGATGGTCTTGCTATTCTTCAAGCCGCTAAAGCTGTTCGACGTGCTCAGCATGATCATGTATGCCAATGTGTAGACTCCCATCAGCCGAGCTATCCCACAGAGAGTCTTGCTGCTGTGTCAGAAAATACAGTTATGGCATCAACACCTTCATCGACAACCCAACCTACGCCGGAAAAAGGTATGTTGCTTCTAATATAATAGTATTCCTTCGTGAAAAAATGGCTTTAAAGAACCTATCATTCAGCCACCACTAAATGGTGAATAGTCTCTGTCTACCCATCAACAATCGATGTTACAACGAAAGACATCTATCCCACTAGCAGAATCTACTGATACCTTTTCCAACAATGCTGACGCCACGTTGAGCAACGTGCCATTTCCTATCTTTTCGGCCATGTGGTGTAGCGTCGAATATCCACTCTATTCACCATTATCTGACATGGATTTTTATAAGTAGTATATTCAGACATTATTTATAGTGAGACGCTGAATACATTGCTTCTTATGTGCGTTAGAAGGTAGTGAAACTCTGAGGAGTCTGGATTTTTTCATCCGAGATATTTGGTGGAGAGTATTTTCTATGAAACATATTCACGTGTTTCGAATAGTATTGTTATGAAATAAAATAACTATTTCTATTTGCCGAAATAAACCTGCTGCTTATGAATAGACTGAACTTTTCAGGAGTCAGAACTACTCTCGTGATCTTGAACGCAAAACTATGACGCCAAGAACATTATATTTATTGGAAGTTAATAACATTTTTATAAGAAATATTATATATATATTAGCTTCTTAAAAATTTCAAAGCTTATTTTGATACATCTGGAGGTTACTTCGAGCTCGTCTCTAATGTCCTAGAGCAGTGCTCTCTTCCTCAGGAAGGATGGTCACGCTGTGGATGCATATCCCACCATCGATCGTAGTGTACGCTGTGTCTGGGTTCAAATGTGTCTCGTTCTTCTTTCACCTTACTTTCTCACATCTAAACGAGCAACTACCCCATACAACAACAGTCATTTCTTCCATCTTCACCGTCGAAGATGCAACCTCTTCTCCATAACAGTATCATACACGAGGTGTAAGAAAAAAGTATGTTTTCCTAGTTCTGAGCAACATTGACGCCAAATTTCCGTAATATCTACCTACTAGGTGCATACATCATTCAACGAGAAAAAAAACATTGTCGTTGTCTCACTCTTCTCTAAGATGTGAGATGGTTTGGGGTGTAAGTGATTTTTTTTCAGAATAGGTCCTGCCAGGCAAAAACATGCATCAACTGCTCACTAGAGTGACGTGATGATTTTTTCAAGGGAAGAAATCTCATAAAACCAAGCTTCTTTTGGGCTTATGAATTTTTCTTATTTTTTTTCTAAATCATTCGTTAATAGAGGACATCTATTTTGTTGTCTATACCCTCTTCAGCATGAGTTGTTTCTTTGTCTATCATTCTTCTTCATCCTATGATGTCTTGATGGTCGATAAGATGCTGCTATTTATTTTATACATATCTTTGAAATTTCCTTTCATCAATGAATGCATTGGGTGTTCAGGATTGTCTTGATCATTGAATTTTAATCCATTTATGAAAAAAGAAATGAAATATTAACAAAGAAGAAATCTTTCAACAAGTTCTATCTTCAAAAGCAGAAATTAAAAAGTCGTAAGCAGATAACAATCATATTTCTTTTTCACCCTAAGAAAACAACATCTGTTGGAATTGAAACGTACGGAGAAGGACAGTGAATGATAGTTAAATGTTTATATTCTTTCGTTCTATTTCTCCATCGACTGGTCCTATCACCTACTGCTCTCCAGTTTGCCATGGTCCTATTAACTGACTTTTTCTAAAATCATCACCTGTTTCCTGTATCATTGTGCAACTGCCTGGCATTTTTATTTAGAAGTTCAAGAATTCGCTGCTCCCGGCGTCTGCGAGAGGCTCTCTTGTGAAGGGCGTCCTTGTTCTAAATGTCACAAGTGTCGTGATTGGCATTTTAATGGTGATCACGGCACCTGGAATTGGGTCTTCAATTGGAGAAATTGGGTCAAGGCGGATGAAGATCGTTGGTGCAATAATCGTGCCAAGCTTTTAACCAAGCGTGATGATGCAACGTGTCGTATTATTTGTTTTGGTAATGATTATCGTCCTGTTGGTGATTCTAATTGTTATTATGGTTATGATTCTTATTATGATTCTGATGGTACTTATCATTCTGGTGTGCTTTATGGTGGTGGTCGTTCTGGTTCCATTTATATTGATCACTTATGTTCATGCGAAAAACATTAACTTTAGCATCGTTTTGATTGACATTATTTGATTGTATTTACGTATTGTGTTTTTTCTAAGCTCTTATAACATAATGAAAATTGAACGCATCTTGATGTTCAACCTATATTCACACCCGCACTCACACCCTCAAGATTATAAGAAAAAAAAATAAATCTACATCTGGATTTTTATATCTATTAAAAATAGTTTGAAGTAAGGATTAGGAAACTACAAAATCACTTTTTTTTGGTCTTGGTCTCGGTCCTGGTCTTGATAAAAGCTTAAAAATAATTCTGGTGTTGTCTTTGTCTATGAAAAAATATGAAGTTCACGAAAATTCTAGCTTTTTCGATTGTAAATTCAATCTATACGGTTTTTTCTTGAACTATAAAATAACACATTTGTCAATTCTTAATTAAAGTAAAAAACAAATAAGAAAATGTCTAGTCTTACACGTAATAAAAAAATTGAGGAATTAGCTGACCATTTTACAGTTCCCTAAGCTAAACAGGAAAGAAGGTGATAATCCGAACTGAATATCTGTCGAGTTATTTTTGCACAAAAATGTTACCTTTCCTGCTTTTGAGATTTCAGAATGTTAGAGTTATGCCACCCTTTCATCTTTTCCTGCTCCACTGGCATATACTCGACGAGATCGAATACTTTCAGTAAAAGATTCGAAATACGTCAGTGAAAATTAAAACTCTGCATTTAATTATTTATTTTACAAGTATATCTAGAAAAGAAGAATAATTGTTGACAAACAAGCGGTTAGTGAAAAGCAAAAGTTGAAAATAGCAGATTGAACTTCTCTTTTCGTTAAGAGATAAGTCGATCTGTTTTTGAATGATTAAACGAATGCAGTACAATAGAAAGTAAAAACAAATATCGAGTTAAGTTCTATTCGAGTTTCTAATTAATTTTTTCTTCCATATATGATGTTTGTAATCGCAAAACAAAACGATACATGTATGCTTTATCCGCAACCATTACCGTATCCAAAACCATGACCACCAGGACCAATACCACAAGTAGTACTATAGGTACAATATATTTCAGAACTACCCATAGTAGTACAACGACTAGCATCAGTATAAAAATTATAACCAGTTTGACCATACCATAGACAGTAATAAGTAGAATCACTATAAACACAACGATGACAACCTCCGGAACAACAAAGACTAGGACCGCAAGTAGGAACAGCTGCTGTTGTTGTTGTAGCTATTGATAAATATAGTATTAAAATATATGTATTGTGGGTGTGGGTGTGGACGTACGAGAAGAAGAAACATCCACACCCACACCCTCAAGAGAAAAAACATAAGAGAAAACGTCCATTATACATTTAGCAACTGAAGAGTTGATTAGGCTGAGCCTTCTCAAATAGAAATTCCTAGTGGCACCGCTAAATATATGGGGCTTTCTTTTTACTATTAGCCAATATAAAAAGAAAATTTCTTCACGCATGATATGAAGAATTCCTATACTTCCGTATAGACTTTTGATATCATCGAAGTATAATTTATTGGTATAGTTTTCGTATTGACTGCTCACAAATTAGGACGACACATAAGCAGATAAAAAGCTACACTCATAAGCATATAATTGATTTTGATTTCCCAAGTGCTATTTTCTGTAACAAAAGTGTCGGACTCCGACGTCATTGTGTAAGAGGATTGACTTTTGGTTGAAATGGTCTGGTGGGATGTTGTAGTCTTCGTTGAATTGGTGATTATTGATTTAGTGACTTCTTGGCTTGCCGTAGTCGATAAATAAGACGATGCAGAAATACTTATTTCTGTTGTTTTTGAACTATACACTTGTTGTGTCGTTGAAGTAGTTGATTCAGCAGTCATAAAACTAGTGTTGCTAGAATCATTTGTTGCCGAAATTAATGGATGTACTGTTGTAACAATTATTGGTCCATTTGTCATAATGTTGGTATATCGATAATCTGTAAAAAGATTTGGATAAACTGGTTTTGAAGTAATTGAGTTTTCAGTCGCAGAGGTCGTCGATGTGAATTTGGTCAAGTCGCCCGTCTAAAATAATATGATAATAATTGATTGATTTATATCCTGAGTATAGTTACTGATAGCAGCGTCGAAGGTTTTGTTGTATCACTTGTTGTTTTTGTCTCTTTGATCCATTCTTTGTCGTAGTCTAATGCTTTGTATATTGATGATAAATTGTAATATTGATCAATAATATGTTGCATTTTCGAAAGAGCTCGAAAACTATTGCATTCATTATAATTGCACTTGAATTTAATTGATTGTTTTTGCTTATGTGTAATTAAGTTAACATCAGTGATTATTTGAAACCGAATAGTCGCAAATGAACTGAAGAGACCTATCAGGCATGTTCTATTAAATTTGCTATTATTATTCAAACGCTCAGCTTGACATATCTCGCTAGAGCACTTCTTGGCAGTATTATCATTATCAGAGCATAATCCTATGTATATTTTATATAATAAAATTGTATAAGAACATTCAGTAGTGAACCGAAAGAAATAGTAATTCATGGTACTAATAAAACTCCTATGATCTGACAAAAGCCTTATAGTGCTTTTTCCCAATGCAAGACATTGGCTAGTTTCTTAAAAGTAAAGTAGGAAGATTAATTTTTTACATAACATGTCGTTTTAGCTAACTTATACAAACCAAGCAATACTGAATTCGAAATAAACACTATAAGCCAAGGATATTTTTTCGCGATTCCATCTAGATGTCATTTTTTTCGTTGTTATAGGAAAAACTGACTATAAGACTTTAGAAAAACTAAATAAAGAGTAATGGAAATTATTAAACAAACTCGCTTTGATAAAAAAAAACTTAAATAGTCACAATGGAATACTTGCCAGAATCTTTGCTTTTGTCCACTTGCAGTGAGCCTATATTTCTCATAAAGGAGTTAAAGTCTATATTAGCAAACCAATCCATTAAATTTAAAAGAGCTTGTTTATTGCAACCATTTGCTTTAGAACATGCATATATAATAGAATTTTTAATAGTAATCTTTCCAGCTCCTTACCATGTGTAATCTATGGTGGTGTCGATCTGTATTTCTTCATAACGTACATCTACAATAGCGATGTCATCGAACATTATCGACCATTTTCCAGAAGTATAACCAAGAGAAAAATCAATCTGACACGTAATTCTACGACAATTGTTAATGTTATGAAAAGAAAGTTGTTCAATTCGTTCTTTTATACTACTTAAATCATGTTTAGGTGATAACTTGCCGCGGAGCATCCAATCGTCCATGCAGAAAAGGCCATAGCCGGACGAGAGCAAATTAAATAGAGTAACTATAATTAAAAGTCTCATTGATTATTATAAAGAAAACTAACTGCAATGGAGCAAGAGCGGTCTATCGGCACATATCTTTGTATATCATGAATAAAGATAAATCGTTGACATGTATATTTAATTAGTCAATATTTTAGTTAATCTCTGGATTTAATAATGCTTTTTAATATTAATTTGTTTATGACAGTCCCAAGTGTAGACTTTTGTTTGTCAACAAATATAATATTAATGATTGACATGTTTCTTATAATATGTCAATCATTTGTAATGTATTATTGACTATACTTAATGAAAAGCACAAGTATTCATCAAACAAAAAGACAATAAATCTGCAAGTGAAATGCAAACGGTTGAGGATATGGCTGTTCGTTACATCTTTACCCTCATCGTCACACTCTCAAGATCTTCAAACTATGTGTATTTTATGTAGTTTCTCTGCTCCTAAAAAATGATATGTTAAAAGCAGGATTATTCTTTAGTGCTATTCGGAGGGTGTGGGTGCGGGTAGGTGTGAGTGTGAGTGAGTGGGTGGGTGGGGACGTGGTGCGGGTATGGGCGTGGAGAGTGAACTAGAAATGATACTCACACACACGCCTCACCCCACTCACACTCACACCCACACCCATATTCACATCCACACTCACCACACCCACCCTTACCCAAGTTCAAGTTTTTTAAGATGATCCGGTACCTCGTTACCCAAGTTCAAGTTTCTGAGGATGCTGCGGGACTAGGGATGTCACAATACTAATAGTATTGGCATTGGTAAAATTGGTATTGTGACATCCCTACCCACACCCACACTCACACCCATCATGGTTCATTGAAGACATCCGTCTAGCGTAAATCAGCTGCTGACGTGAGCATATCGGTGTGGACACCTCCAGATAGATTCGAATAGATTAAGTCGTTGACATGTGAAACGATTTCTAATTAATGTTTTTTTTAGTCCTATTTTCAAACTCACACTCTCACCCTCAAGATAGGCAAGTTCAACAGATTCTTAGCAACAACTCTTTGTCAACTCGATTATCAACACATACGCCTGCTGTTGAAGCTAAAGGACGATGCAGATATTGCAGTACTAAAGTTCGTCTAATATATAGTACTATAAAGTGCAGTTCTTGTAGTATTTAAATGTGAAAAAAAACAAAAACTGTGTTTTTTTATTTCATGAAAACGTTTTATAACATTTCTCCTAATAAACTTAAGCGTCTCAAATCTCTATCACCTATACTAGATGCGACAACACATGAGATACTTATGACTGATATTTCTCTCTCCCTAGGTGCACCAGTCCAATACTCGGATTTGACAGGTGTCCATAAGACCATAATAGAACATAGCTAAAAACACCGCTCATCAAGTTTGCAGAAAATGACAGACTTTCTTCCGACGGAATCCGATGCAATTCCGTGACCAGAATCCTATAGAATTTTGTCGGATCGTCGTATCCGATCGGAACCAATAGGATCCAACATCGGATTGGTCGACCTAGGCCTAGAATAGACTAGTTTCATGCTTTATTTGAATTTAATGTAGCAAAAAATAAATTGGGACTCAAAGGATTAATTTGTCTTTGGATAAAGTTCAATTTCAATTTGATTTTCTTCATTTAATTGTGTCAGTTCTTTTCCATAAGGAAATATCCATTTTTGATTTAAACTTGGTCTTTCAATTTCAACACGATCTAATGACCAATCTGCACCAAAGCCTGAATTGTCATGACCAATTCTAAACAATCAAACTTTTCATTCGATGCGAAATAAATATGTTTAATACTTTATTTTAATAGGTGAATCAAACTCAGTTAATTCAATATGAAACTCATCTCGATGACCCGTTTCAAAAGGGTTTTTATATGTTTTGGAATTCTTCAATGATATTTTACCTAAAATATATTTTATTTGCTAAAATTATCTTAAGATAAACAATTTGTACCTGTATTCTTAAATGAATCAAAAATAATAATATAAACATTGGCATCTGTTCCACTACGAAAACTATCCGATGTGATAACACTAATTTGAAAAAATGTTAAATCGTTGATAATATAATATTTGGATAAAAGAATTTCATAAGGTGGGTGTTCTCCATGAAGTCCATTCCGATTGCGTATGTTGTCTTGGAAATCGAACTCGAAATATGTGTTATTTATTCTCGTATCACGAATTTCTATTCGAAGAAGAAACCAAGATGAAGAACCCTATGAGATCATTCTGTGTGAATAAGTCTTGGGAAATTTATATCTTACGACGCCATCAAGTAGCGAAACATCAATCTTGTCCAGTTTTCCTAAATATAGACTATTGATATGGAAAATATCTTTCTATTAAAATTGTAAAATAAATAAGTGATACAATCAAATGAAAATCAAACTTGATTTCGTTGAAATGAATTTGAATTTGTTTTCGATTCATGTAATCTATATGTATCTACAATCAGAATAAATTGATTACTAGATTCAATATTTCTAACTTGATTCACCTGAATCTCGATATTCTCCATAGATTTTTAAATGTACGTGAGCACCCACAGTAACTCCACGAGCATCACCAGTATAAACTGTAACTTCATATGTTACAACTAATAAGAAGAAAACAAACAAAATCTCTTGAAAGAATTCTCTGATTCATACAAATATTTTTTTGAATGATTTCCGATGGTTTTAATTCGATCTGATATTGATTTGTTACTTCACTTTTTTCGATCCAACAGAAGCAGGTAAATCTATTTGAACAAACAAACGAATACATGTAGTGATTAGTTGAATGAATCTACTTATAAAATTCATCACGTATAGGTATATCGACTTCTATCCAATCTAAAAACCATTTTGTTTTCTGAGTATTTTCATAATATCTGATCATAATAGATTTTATCTAGAAATAGAATAGTTAATCAATTCTATTGATGTCAAGAGAAACAAACTTGTCCAAAATTATTGAACAGATAGGTAAAATTATTAATATGTCCATTTTGAAATCTGTTTAATTGATAATCATTTGATTTAAGTTCAGTTTCTCTGGTTTGATTAACTTGACCGAATATTGTTAAATAAACATTCATATGAGTTTCAATAGGAATTCTATTACCAGTTTTAATTCGAATAATATATAAAATTCGGTGAAATGAATCAATTTTACCGAGATTGTATTCATTCGTCCCATTGATTAGTTTCGATTCGAAAATATCAATACTGTTTTCAAATAGTTCATTGGTATCAATTGAACAGTCACGAAATTTCGAATATCTTAATGAAATATGTGTCCAAATCATGTCTTCAAAATTAACATTAATGAAAAAACAGTATTCACATGAAATAAAACTCATATTAATAACGTACATATTTAAATTAATAAATGTCACATTGTAAAATTTAGCATAACTGAAATCTGTTTCATAGAAATTCACATCTTCAAAAACTGAATCTTGAATAGTACTTTTGATTAGTGAAGACTTGTCCATTATTGCATTTGTAAATATCGAATTATAAATTCCTATTTGAGATGCTTGCACATTTGACCAATCTGATTTAGTAAAATTAATTGCTTTAAAGCTAGCTGAATGAATTAGTGCATGACTGAAATTTGTATAATCGAATAGAAGTCGATCCTTAGAGAGATAAAATGTATGAGAAATTATTGAATAATTTAAATTGACTTTCGCTAGAATAGAATGTGAAAAGTTACATTCGATGCATTCGAAATTGTCCATTTGAGACAGAAGTAAATTTGTGAACGAGAAATCTGTCAAACGAAATCGAACATTGGACATATTTGCTTTGATCAATGAAGCACCAACGAAGTTTGTTCGACTTTGATGAATTGTATGTGTAGCAAAACCCATATCAATTGAATCCATAACTGATTCAGTAAATGTCGTATGATCTAATATTGTATGACGAAAAGATGCATTGACAAGAATTGTGCGAGGCAACCAAACATAATTCCAATCGATATATCGGTACATCGGAAGTTTATCGATTCGATTTGATGATAAGCCAAATTGAATATGACTAAGATCTGCTTGTTCCAGATTCACAATACTTGCATTGAATGATTTTTCAGTTTTTAGAAAATTTATTAAATTAGCATGATGAAGTGATCGAAGAAGAATACGTTTACGATTAACATTTAATTGATCTAGTGCAGTTAATGTCATAAATTGGGCAACAATTTTAGCTTCAGATGATTTTTCTAAATAATTTCCATGTTCAATAATTAATCTTGAAAGAAATGTTTGATATTGAAGAAGAATATTTTCTTCTTGTTGATCAATATTAAGTGCACGATCTTCCTTTCGACTTTGTTCACCAAGTTGGATTTCATTTAAGCGTTGGTCTTCGGCGATTTGAAGATCACTTCGACGATTCGCGTTAGCTATTGATTCGTTACTTTTATTATCAACAACGGTATAAACGGCAATGACTATTGGAACGAGGATAGCTGCAATTAGTTGTATCCAATCAAACCAAATTCGTCTATTGTTTTTTCTCGAATCTTTATTCGTCGACGAACATGCATTCCTTTCCATTTTCAATAAACTTTTCTTTTTAGTTTTAGATAACTCCACTACTTTTTTTAATATATTTTTTCATTACTCTGGCTAATATTTATAGGTCTTTCAAACTTTATCTTATCTTATATTTTATTTTGATTTTTATTAAATATTTCTACTATCAAAGATTAGTTAGATTTACCTATATTGACAAGATGTATTTATCTTTTTATTAATTTCTATTTAGATTCTTGTCAAACTTTTTTCATAAGCATATGGTATTCTTGAGTTTCTGGAGTCTAATTGTCATGCGCTATGGACACATCTTCTGGCAGGACTTTAAGTTGTCAAAAAACCGAAGCGCTTACGTTTCTTGGTGAAGCACTTACATGTTATGATCAAAAGCTTGTAATGCTTAATAGAACAATAAATAACGCTCGTCGCTGAGAGTTATCTAGCTCTCGAGTGAATCAGTGACACTGTATAACAGCTAGTGCATTTGTACAAAAAAACTGCTAAAATATTATATCTTGAGGGTGTGGGTGTGGGTACATCCCGTCTCTCCACATTACACCCACACCCACACCCACCCACCCACACTCACACCCATCCACACCCACACCCACACTCACACCCACACGCTCGCAGTACATTCCAAAACTATTGTTGATTTCGAAACCCAAGTGAAGGTTTCGTCGATTTTATACCAAGCTATTCTTAGTTTCGTAGACCATCTGAAAGTTCCGGGTATTTCATACGAAACGATTGATAGTTTTGTAGGGCTTCCGAAAGCTTAGAAGAATTTATATTGAACCCTAGATGGTTCCGTACTCTAACAAAAGCCTTGGCCCAAATGATACGAAACGATTGATAGTTTCGTAGAGCTCCCCAAAGTTTCCGACATTTTATACTGAACTCTCGATGGTTTCATAAAGTCACTAAAGGTTCGGTCCAAGTCATACGAAACTATTCATGGTTTCGTAAGCTTGCCCAAGGTTTAGAATATCTTATACTAAACTCTTCATAGTGTTGAACACTGAGAAAAGGTTTCGCGTAAGTCACACGAAACGACTCTCAGTCTCGTAAAGTATCCCAAGGCTCAGAATATCTTATACTGAACCCATGGTGGAAGTCAAGAAGGGTGGGTGTGGGTGTGGGTGTGAGTGTGACTATGGGTGTTCGTTTTATTTCATTCCACATCCTACACCCACACGTTTATAATTAGGTTAAAATCAGTCGAGGATCAAGCGAGTCTACTCGACGAGCGTCACTTGTTAGTATTTATGACTGCTAACATATATTTCCCTCATCATAGAAATAAAGTGAAGAGAATTGAAAAATATTTGTCATCAAACACGTTCTTTTTTCTTTCGATTACAACATTTTATAGGTATGACGTTTTTCTCCTTGGTTTTTACCAACCTATATATAACATGTGATAAAATATCATCGTTAAACTTGAATAAAGTTGGATAGAAAGAAAAAAAAAAGCTATGTCATTTTCATTTGAAATCAATCTTCGTTTTTTGCTTGATATTTCTCATCAATTACAAGAAAATATCGAATTTATTAATAGCTATCAGCAAGAACAACTCGTTTCTCTCGAAGAAGCTTGGCAATCACTTGAAAATCTACTTGGTACAGAACTTCAACTCTATATAACTGCTGCTAAATTGAATTCACAACAGAGATGTCCATCGCGGTTGAGAATCTGCCGCTGTCGCGCCGCACCGATATTGTAAAAAAGCTAACGCGCCGCTACCGCGCCGCGCTCCTATAAAAAAGTTGCCGCTGTCGCGATGGGACTTTTAAGAATTTTACGATTCTCAAAGCTGATAGTGGTTTAAACGAGTGCTGTTGCTGCTAATCGATGAGATCCATCTAGTTTTACATTGCGGAATACAGCAATGTCGAGATTATGTGTAAATTTCGTAGTTTTTAAAATTGTTTCCTGAAAAAGCTGCCGCGACAGTATGATAAAGGTTGCTGCTGCGCCACGGCTGCAGCGGTAGCAGCAGCGGCAGCGCCGCCATGGACATCTCTGATTCTTAACAACCAAAACATGAACTTAGACAAGAAGAATCAGCATCGATTTATTTATATACTATGGAATGGAATCAATCAGAAAATAGTCTTCATGTTCTTCTTAATCAAGCACTTTACTCTATAGATAAAAATCAACGTCAACCTTGGTTAAAATATCTTAAGCTATACACTCTGAACTTTTTTTCTCTTTCTCGTAGAGAAGAGTCCAGCAGGAATAAATTGTTTGCTTGATTGCTTGATTGCTTGTGTGTCCCCACGGTCAAAAAAACATTCAAATGTAATTTTTCAGATACTTCCGAAAAACTTTCACTGGGGGGTAATCGAGGGCGGGGATCTTGAATCTGAGGTTAGTTTATTAAAATTAACTAGTTAATAATTAGTTAATAGTCAGTTAATAATAATAATTATTATATGTTCGAGTAAAGTTTCACCGAAGGGTAATCGAGTGTGGAGAATCCGAATCTAAGATTATTTTTAGTTAACAATCAATTAATAACCAGTTAATAATTAATATTATTAGTTTTTGAAATATTTTCGGAAAAATTGAACCAAAGGGTAATCGAGTATGGAGAACTCGAATCTGAGATTGATTTATTAAAATTAATTAGTTAATAATCAGTTAATAATTAATACTATTAATTTTTGAAAAAGTTTGACCGAAGGGTAATCGAGTACCAAGAATTCGAATGTGAGGTTAATTTTAGTTAAAAATCAATTAATAATTAATTAATATTATTAATCTTAAAGATAGTTCCAAGAAAGTTTTACCAGATGGTGATTCGAGAATCGATTTTTTAGAAAAAACATTTTCGAGGCCTTTCGATGAGGAGACTTCGAATCTGATGTTAGTTTTATAAAATAATTTTATGGATTACTTTTTTAGGAAGAGAACCAATTTTTATAAAAAAGTTTTTTCATAAGGGGTGACCGAAGGGTAAGTCGGGCGGAAGAACTCAAATCTCGTGTTAATTTTTGCAAACTGTATAAGCAAAAAGGTTAGTATTGTAGAATACGATTTCTACGAGAAAGAGCTGAGCGAGCCTGCAGACGAGCGTTACTTGTTTGTATACTCTGCTTTTCTTAGATCTCTATTGGTTACGCACATTTATAAATATGTTTATACAAGAAAGTGTATTTTAAAGAACATGAAAATTATATATTTTTTGCAACAAAATGATAAGAAGGGGCGCTGATATACGTTTCATGTCGATATATATGGAGCCACGTAATATGTGCTACTTCTTTAGGGTGGGTATGAGTATGGGTGTGAGTATTCACTTCTTTTCTCAGTCACACACACACACACATCCTCAAGATTTCAGAATCTCCCATCAAACAGGATTGATGCAAATTGCAGCTATTTATATAAATTGTAATTGCTATTAATCATTATAATTATCGAAAAGTCGATCAATAATGAATTTCAGTAATTTCTCGAGTTTTGTCATATGAATTGGGTTATTATCAGATCTAGTTTCTATCTGATTTCAGATTTGTTTTTGTTCTTGGTGGAGTCAATACAGAACGATTTGGAGACATGCAACAACTGATACACACTTTGTCTCGTGACGATGAAGATTTTCCATATGACGACGACGAACTGCAGAACTACCAGGACTTTTTCAAGAACATTAAATTATTTAATTGTATCTTCAATTTCAATGCTGAAGAAGCGTCACTAACAGGTGATTATAGTTTCAATGTCATCGTACATTTGGATAATCTGAACGAGCAAAGACTTGTCTTACTTCAACGAAAAAAACGGAATGATTGGAATATTTTCAATGCTGTAATGGTGTTCAATATACAAACTGATGAGGCTCAATACGCCATAAAACCAATTACGACTGGTATGTACAAAAAAATAGATTGTTCAGCTGAAAATCACTTCATCGGTAGCTTCCATATCTTTTCCAGCATAGTATAATAGATGATTGGAAACATAAGTTAACTAGAGAGAAGACCTGTAATTGTGTTTTTCGAACAGCTTAGAGATCACATTGTATCTATTAGAAAATCAACAAAAGTAAAAATTCTTTGGTTTTTCCAAGATAAATATCAAACAATAAATAACTGTTGTTTTTTTATATTAATCGATGTACAGATAACGTGTTTTGGAACAGTTATGCTACAACTCAAGATTACTAATTTTTCTTTGAACGAGATAGTTTTGTTGAATATAAGCAATAATTTATGCAACAAACTGGTATAATTATAATTGATTTCTCGATATAGTCGAGTCTCCGCATGAAAAAGCAAGTTTCTTAAAAATATCGAAGGAACTAAGAGCAATAAAAAATGAACATCTTTTTATTTCATCTGAGCTTTAAAAATTTTGAAAATTTTAAGAAAAATTAGGCAGTTTGATAAATTATATGACTATCATTTATCTGTATAGGTCCATCTTTAAATGTTGTCGAATTTTGCAACAACTGCGTTAAACATTTTCAAAATTATGCAAATTCTATCAATGCTATTCAATTAGTCGGTGGATCATGTGAACAAATCTTTAATTATTGTTCATCCTTATCTGATCGTCTTCAAGAGAGTTTGAGCAATATTGAAAGGGAGGGTGTGGGTGTAGATATGATTGAAAGGGTACACACGCCCTCGCTCACACCCACCCACCCATACTCAGAAATTACTCATTTGAAAAAACAATTAAAATTATATCAATTGAATTATATGCCGAAGTAAGTTGCTCATTTAAACAACATATAAAAAACAATGATTCTGACAGGCCGACTAGTTCAGCAGCACAATACTTTCGTACAATTACTGAAGGAATCGATGATGGTTCATCAACTGCAATAGATATAAAGAAAAGAAAAACAATTCCATTTAACAAAACATCAAGTATAAGAACGTAAACAACGTAGTTTTATCATCAAAACTTGTCATAAAGTTGTCAAAAAAATATATATGATACTGCCGATGTACGAGCTGAAATAGCTATATCAAGAACGTCTGACAGAAAAAAAAATGCAATTATGGGTAACAGGTCTAATTATTATTTTAACTTACACAAGTATTTTTTTCTGCTAGATTATGCTAAAATCTTGCATCCAAATCAACACGCAACTCCAGAAGGTACTCTTCGAAATGCCATTGGGAACGTGTTTTCCTCACAAAAAGAACAAAGGAAAAAAACTTAAGAAACAAAAATACTTTTGTAGAAAAGTTTTCATTCTTTAGCCTAGTCACATTAACAAGAAATTTTTTTTTTCCTTTTTTCATGTTGTTCAGATTGGTACAAAAAGAAAACAGATATAATTTCATACTTTAATCTTGAACATCTTTTCTTTTATAACTATCGGCACCAGCTCATTTACTAGTCTGCATTAGCATATTGAGTAAATCTTGAGGGTTTAGGTGTGGATGTTGATAATTAATAAACACCCACACGTAAACCCATCCACCCACACCCACATCCACACCCTTAATTAATTATATATTCTTGAAAAAAGATTTGATGATTCTCAATGTTATGAACATTATATTTGCGACGACTCATGAACTAGTTTTTTATATAAATCTGTTGAATATATTTATTTCTATTTGTTCGAATATCTTACAGCAGTCAAGCATTAAAAAGTTTCTACGAAATTTTCACAAGAAGTAACGACAATAGGTAGATTGTATTCTTTTGCTATTCGCAGTTGTGTACTGAAGGCTTTTATTTGAATATCATCATCTAGTCGACGTTGACTAATACCAACAGAAATAAATACGTAATAAATTAATTCGAAAATAATACGTACAGTTCAAAGTAACATGTACAACATCGTGTGCAAAATGGCGTGCATACACATTATTCCACTTATCTAAAATATACGTCCATTCAAAGATTTAAAAAAATACAATATTCTTGCCTTCCTTAAAATGATAAAGTCTAAAACATGACTGAATTACATATTACATGTCAATACCTTTATTGTCAATATTAATGTTATTCTTTACATATACGGAAATGGATTTCTCTGAACAATTCAATCTAAATAAATATGTAGACAAATATAAACTAAACTAAGCATTAAACTCATATTTACTTTTGAAAAAGTACATTCATATGACAATATGAATCTGCAATATAAAAAACTTCATCATTTGTATCATTTTCCGACATTAAAATGTTTCATATCATATTGTCAATCTCATTTTCTAATCCCAATCGAGACAGATTTTCATTTTTGTTTAATAAATAATGAGAGACATCACTAAAAAAAGCATTATAATAAAATATATATTATCATATTTCAATTTAATTTAATTTTTAGTATATTGAACGAAAATATAATACTAAATATAATATATTAATCTTACCCACAATGCATCTTCATTTTATTATATTTATCAATGATACCCAGGTCGAGCATTACGACGACTGTAAACGGCCGTATACGGCCGT